CCTAGGTCCCCCAGTAGTGTTCTTTTACCAACTTTTTTGGTTGGGAGGGTTCCCCTACTCAAACCGAAAAAGTTGGCACCGTTATTCTAACCTCTCAAATCTGGAGGACCTTCCAGACCCGTTCACCTGGAGTCTCCATGAACCCTTAAATATGGGTCCATGACACCCTATTATTTTGGGTAATGACCAACCATTTTCAAAGGGTCATGGAGCTCCAGGCAGTCCCTAGCATTTTGGTACGTTCTTTTGGGAGGCGTCCAAACTTTGAACCCGAGGTCTACACAACGGCCACGTGCTGCTGCAGTTCTTTAAGGCCAACGACTGGCCGGTAGCCACGTCCTCGAAGCCGGAAAAAAACCGGGCTAACGGGCTAGCGGCAGCACCCAACAGGTTTTAGAAAAGGACACCAAAATGGACACCGAAGCAGGTTTTGGTACCCGACTTTGGTGGAACAAGAAGGGTTAGGGAGCCCAGATGGTGAATCAACAGTTGGTGTTTCAACATATGAGTGTGTCTTAAAAATAGGGGACCACGCAAAAAGCCTGTTGGTTTCCTTTTAAACCCACCCAAAGAGGGGCACCTCAAAAACAGACGCTATATTTTTCAAGAGGGCTGGCATAAACCTGCCTGGTTCCTTTCCCCCAAGGTTCCTCAAAGTAAGACCCGAAGTTCTTGGGCCTTTCGGGGCAGCTTTGGGTTTTGTGGTGTGGGGTGGGTTTGTGGTTGCAAGTTCCGGACCAGTGCTAGTCCTTATTTCAACCTTTTTTGGGCTAAACCCCCTTCCCCGTGGCCAGACACCCTAGACTGCCGTTGCGAGTTTGAGGGTTCGCCAAACTTGGACAAATTGGGTGGTTATGTGAGTTATGTATGGTTAATGTTTTTTCAATCTATCAGTGGCGTCGGCCTTTGTCCAGAATGCTTGCAGTTGTTAGTTTTAGCTACAGTGCTTTGTACTCAGCAGGGAGTCTGGGAACAGCCCGGATTCTGGCTTTCTCCTTTTAACGGTCTTCTTTGGGATCATGCATGAGCGGGGCGTTAGTATTTGAATATTCAGCTGGAGTGCACAAGGTGAGCTAGGCGCAATGTCTCAGCTGACGGACTTGCACATACATCCTGTCGTTGCTTCGAAGAAATGGGAGGGTCTCAACCACTTAGAGCGAGCTCACCGATGGCAGGTACGCAAACCGAGCAATGAATGCGCCTTAATGAGGATGCGGGCAATTCAGGTTGATGAGCTAGAGCTAAAAGTGTTGACAACGACGAACAACCTGGTTGAAATACGGGCAAATTTCATTTTAGAAAGAAACCATTACTTCCTGGAGCAACAAGCCGCCCCCCTCCTTATCCATCAGGTGGTAGTGGATGGGAAATGCTCTTGTCTGGGGTTGGACGCTTTTTCCTGCTCGAGTTCCTGGACTTTCATACTTTTTGCGAACACCATTTTAATGGTAAACGTAAAGTCTGGGCTTGTTTGGCCAACCCACTCAGGAAGTGAGCCTTGATTGCACCGCAGCTAAAGTAATGGACGCGTTTTGTTGTTTTCTCCATCTTGAAACTTGAAGCCAATTGCATGCGGCAGGAAGTGTTTTGTGTAGACTCACCTGTTATTGTTGCCCTTTTTGATACAAAGGTTTCGAACTACCCACTTTAATTGCCCTTCTCTGGGGAGTTAAGAAGTGAAACTGCCACGTCACTTGATGTTGTTCGTGATCAAGGTCTAGTCTGTAGATTCTATCACATACTTGTTCCTTTTTCCAGACCAAAGTTTCCATAGTCAAGCCCCTTCAAAGTAACAAAGTGACCTAGTATGGCCCGGTAGGCCCAGTAGAATGGGAACCCCGGATTAATAAACACTTGGTTGATGAATAGGATGTGTCCCCTTTACGTGGGAGTTCACCATTTTTGGAGGGGAACACTCCTATTAATAGGTCGGGTTTTTTGATCTGGGGTCAACATTTGCTGACTCTGGTGACACTAACACTTACTGGGGCCAAAACACGGTCAAACAAAACATAACTACCAGTTGCCAAAAGTGATATTCGATTCATCCTGTTGATTTGGAGCTCCGTTTCCCGAGGTGAGCTTCATGAAGGGCCCACATGGCCGCATGGGGCGCGGGGCCCAGTTCATCGACCGTTGTCCACAGGTCCCGGGACCACATCCCCGTTGACTAGGCCAAAAAGTTCGGTTTCCAGCAGGGTTATAGGGCAACTTGCGGACCGCTTTTTACTTGGCATTTAGCCAAATAAGATATACACTAGTTTCACCGCCCCAAGGAAAACTTATGCCCAGCGTCTCCCTTTGGAAAAAACAAACACGACGCCCCTGGTTTCAACCGTGCTGGTCAGTGAGACAAAATGTCAGCCGTAGATTCATCTGAGGGACAGGTCCGCCATTGCACTGGTCCTTGTTGCTTGCAAGTCCTGGCGGCTTCAAGGGTTTGATCCAACCGGGTCAAAAAGTTCGGTTTACTCCAGGGTCCTGTGATCCAACCGGTCCCACCAGACCTAGCTCACCGTGTTGATCTCATGTTTGCGCTGAAACCTGCCTGCCCTTTCACCAACAAGTTTCGAGTTTTGGGGGACCACACCACCCAAACGAGATGTGTGTCTTGGAGGGGGCTGGTGTGGTTTTGCTGGGGGGTCTAGCAGTTGGACGATTTAAGGCCCATCTTCGGCTCCCGGATCCGACGCAAAGCCAGAGACGGGATTTGCCCAGCGGTTCCATCCCATAGCCCAGCCAGTGTGCGAGTGTGCCCCACTTTCCCCAGTTCGTGCCTTCTTTTGAGGGTAGCCCTGTTTTGGCTCATTGAAGGGAAGCTCAAAGTTGACCACGCAGGGTAAAGGTCCCCATTTATTCAAAGGGAATGGCCATTTACTTTCACCCAACGGCTTTGGGCATTTCCCTCGGGCCGAAGCCCGGGAGTGCCTTTTGTTTCTCCACAGCCATTCGGGCCTCTCCCTTTCGGGCTTTGGGCCACCCGCTCGGCAAGCGAGGGACTGGGTGTGATTTCGGGGTTTGGGTTAGTGAACCCGGGACCTCGGACTGACTAGTTCACACATAGGCATTCCGCAACACTATGCATGTCACAGCGTGCTTCATCATGGATTGTGGTTGGAAGGTGCGCAAGTGTGTTGATTTTTGCATCGCCCCTCATTTCTCAACGCCCGGAATGCTCCCCCAGGTTTCTGAGTTGGGTATCCATCAGCTATAGCTTGATTCTGGCGAATTCAGCTGTAAGGGTCACATGCGTTGCGGTGAACTTTCTGTTTAAACCCACGTGTGGAGCCACACAAAGCACACACCCATCGAGAAACAAACATGGCAAACGGACACGCCCGTTGGGTTTTATATGGTTTTAGTATGGGTTCACAAAGTCGAACTTGCAGGCACTTGGTCTCATATGGCTGGGCACGCGCCACCCGCACTGTGTGAACATTTTATCAAGCTCGCGGCAACCCGCGGCAAAGAGAAGGCTTGCTTACCCTGGCCCCTAGATGTCCCAGTTAACTACTTGAGCCCAGGTCAGATTCGGAGGAAGGGCCAGGCATATTCGTTTTGGTTTGGCCAGTCAACCCAGCGAGTCCGATTGAACTGGCGACGGGCCAGCTTGCCATACTTATTTATGTTCAGTCCAGTTGATTCTAAGAACATGGTTTCTCTAGCATATGCGCTTTCCATATGCCTATCCATATAGGTTTGTTTTGCATAGGGGTCTGTACCCCTCGACACCAGCCAACCTCAGCTCAGCTCAGCATTCGCCGCAACCAGCTGCAGTGGCCACCTTTTCGCGCGCGGACCGTTGGAGCCTTGCGGCGCAATGCGACGACCTATGGCTTGAGGCTGGCGCTTGCCCAATGAGGGACCCCGGTGCCTCGTAGTTCTGACCGTCGGGCGTCATCAAAAGTCAGAAACTTAAGTCCCTTTCATGGTTGTTGTTGGAAACATTTTACATTTTTGCTTCTTGTGGTTTAGTGGGAAATCCCCAGTTAGCTGCTAAAATTTAACTTTCCCTTCAACCCGCCATTTCAGGTGACTTTGAGAATGTTGGGGGCTGTTTCCCAATTTGTTGCCACGCTGCCTCTCTCAAGCTGCCACGCGTGTGAAAGTTGGGCTAAAGCTCAGATCGAGCTCGAAACGGAGTTCAGCTTACATCCAGTCACCTGGGCATTGAAGCCATGGTCCCTTACTTCAGGATTCTGCAGCAATTCTGAGTAGAGAGTTTGCAAAACCTGGACATTCCAGTGCCGCGGAATTCCTAGGCGTTCTGGATCTCAAGGCGGTTTGGGAATCTTGTTTGCGTAGTTGTGCGTTTTGTTGCCGGTGTGTGAGCGGGTGTTTTGCGGTAATTATTGAGCGTGTCCTTTTTCGTTGCGTTAGTTTGCGCGCGCGCGTTTGCGTCCAAAACAGGGTCATGCCGAGAAATTTCCTAGGAGTTTGACGTTGGAATGTCCGGGAATTAGCATGACTAGTGCGGATCAAGTGATCAGGTGTGAAGCACCCTAGAACACGTTGGTTAGAACGTTTTAGAACCCATTGTCGGTTAGTCACAATGGCGCTACCCTTCCAGCCATGTTCTGATAGCCATCCTGTAATGGGTGGAGGTCACCCTTCACAAAGGGCAGCATTGTTACGAACCGACATGGTCAAGGGAATCTCAGGTATCCCACCCAGGTTGGCACTGCCATGGAAGCCTCGTACATGTTTCTCCCCAAGCTTTTGCGCACCCTTTTTTGGCTCTCATCGTAAGCGTACCAACGTGTCCTATCCGAAAAGTACTTGAAGATTTCCCCAGCGGCATCCCCCAGCCAGTCCCAGAGTCCAAGAACCCCCGTGAACATGACTCTTGAGTAGTTCAAGCACCTCCCACTACCTACTTGGACCCCTAGGCACTGGGCATTCCGGCCTCTTGCGCTGGCTCAAGTTGCCGCAAAGCGGCCAAATCAAGAGGTGCCCGAGCGCCACACGAGTGCGAGTGGGTCCAAGTTTTGGCGAGCGCCATGCCGAAGCAGGCGGTGACGACGTGCCTTGCAACCCAAAGCCGTGCTGATTTCTTTCGGGGGGGGGGGGGGGGGAAATCGACATGACTTGGCCTACGAATCGCTTCTAAAACGTGCGTTTGTCGTTTTGCAGTTTTGAATCTACTGATGCTTGGTGGGCGCTTTGAAGATCTGTCATTGCTTTGGGCTCACATATCCAAACTGGCTGCAGGTTATAGTTGCGACCAGGCAAGAGCTGGAGCAAGCATGCGTGTCAAACCACGTCATTTGGCCCGACCCCCTGTAGTTCAAGTGTAATTAACCCACGGCAGTTTGTACTGGGCCCAAAGAGAACACGTTTGGGTCCCGGTTTTTTCCTTGAAGCCACCGCTATAGTAAGAATTGGAGGTAAGGCGATAATTCGTTGAACTTTCCAGACCGCCCTTTTTAGCACCCAGCCTGCCTTCAACTGTTTGCTGGTGGACAATCCGTTTCATTCTGGACGAAATCCACTTCGCACCATGGCTGTGACTTTTTATAGGGGCCCACCTCAAAAGTGGTTGGACGTGAATCCCCACCACCAAAGGGTCCTCAATTAATATTGGCACACCTGATCCATTTGCTTTAGACCGTATGGATCGCCGTTTTCTCATCCCCAAAAAGTTGCTACGCCTGACAACAAAAACACCCAAAAACGCTAAACCCCCCCCCCCCCCCCGTAGCGTTTTTGTTGGCATCCCCGCGAAAAGCAAGGCGCGTGAAGAGCCACACCAAGCTCACGGACCAGCACCCCTGGGTGGAGCTGGTCTTCCGGCTTCTGGGCACCTCCGCGCGAAACAAAAACCGGCCGAAGTCGTGTCGACGTGTCGAAGTCGGGTTGGAGCTCGAACTCGGGTGGTGTCGTGGTGATTGTTTTGGCCCCACAAACTGCCCCACAAACAGTGCAAAGAGACCAAAGAGGCCAAAGAAGGCCAAGCCTGGTTGCTCAGAAACCTGCGAAAAAAATATCAAAAGGACATAATCTGGTTTTTGGTGGGCATCTGGAAGTGCAACTTCTTGTGGTATTTTCAGCAGATTGTTTCTGTGAACCTTGGAACCGATCAAGCAACTGGACCAACCAATGTAGTGGGTTGTTGCTGCCTTTTTCCTTATGTTTTGGAGGGGTGTCCTTTTAAGATCAGGTACCAACAAACAAGCTTGCCCTTTTTTCCTGTGGCCACTGGGAGCCTCGGTCAACCAACCAGCCAATCAATCAACCGATCAACCAACCATGACAGGTTCTCAAAAATGGGGGGGGGTCCAAAAAGTGGGCTCCCTTTTACACTATCACCTATTGAAGGTCTTAGCAAAGCAGGGTTAACTGGCATTGTTTTGAAGAAATTTGTTTTTAACGCATACCGTTTGTTGCGCTTGTTTGTACCCCTTTGGGCCTACTGTGGCTTGACATATCCGCCAGTGTGTGCGTTTTGGTTTTGAAGCGCTGACATATCGGACATATGTTCTTTCGTTCACATTGCAAGTTCTAAGGTTCCGGGGAGCTAGGGAAGGCCCTTGGGGATTCTCTTTGCGGCTTCGCATCTTTTTGAGGGTCCACACGGGACTCTGCCCACTTTACAGACGACTCCGGAAACCCTAGCAAACCCGAAAGAAACCATAGGAATCAGAAGAGGCTTCCCACATATCTTCACCTGCGTTTATGTGTATCAACCTATGTTGGTTTTCGTTGCACTCTTTCTCCCAATCACCAGCAAGCCGCGAACACATCGACATCTTCAAATCATTTTTAGCACTGATGCTACCTTCAACCGCTGGCTCATTTATACAAGGGAAGCCCCAAACACAAAGAAACCAAGACAAACCTCAAACCGCGACATCGGATAGTCAAGTTCCTCCTTTTAGCTTTGGTTTTTTTCCTACTCCTGCCGAGGGGCCTGTGGTACCACGGTGGTTTTTGGGATCCGCCTGGTCATCGCGGAGTTTCTCTTCGGCATCATGGCCTGGGCGCCGGTCCGGGCGGCCGGGGCGCTGCTGGCGGCGGTGCCCTTGGTCTACACCGGCCCGGGCGCCCGGAAGGCGACGTATGGCGACGTCGGGAGGTGGGGGGTTTGAAGCCGCTGGCCCCCGTGGCTTGGTGGCTGGCCCCGTGTTTTTGGAGGGCGCGCGGCTTTTTGGGGTGAAGGAGAAAAAAACGAGGGCACAGACCCCCATGTTTTTGGGTGAAGGGAAAAATCAGAGGGCCCTGACCCCCAATCTTGTGGTTGTCCTGTTGGCTTTTCTTTTGGAATCGCAGAAAAAGGGGGCGCTTTTTTGATGGAACTCTCTTTTTGGGTGGCTGCAAAGGGAAAGCGAAGGGAAACTGTCACATTCTTGTATTGTGAAGGGATCGTTTTGTGGACATCGTTGGGTGGGGATTAATGTCCAGCAACCACTTTTCAGGTGGTCCCTATTGAAATTCATAGCCAAATATGGGGGAGGGTGAGGGCCCCCAGGCCCCTTTTCTTTTCCAGCGGGAAGATGGAACCATGCATTTGGGTTTGTCTCAAAGTATTGGACTCCCAAAACGGTTGGCTTCATGTTGGTTCCCCGTTAAAGCCAACCAAACCGGGGTTCCCCCAAAGCAAGACACTCATAGTACTCAATGTTTAATCTTCTACACTATAGTTTGGGAGAATGCATTGGTGATGGAACATGGCAAGTTTTTTTCGTGTTCGAGCAAACCACTCACGAAATGAAACCAGTTGAAGCTTTCAGGCCCTGGAATCCAAGCAACCAGCCTTTGTCACTCGCAATCTCAGAAGGGTAGACAATTCTCAGAACGCCCCTCCCTTCACAAATCTTTTGCCCGCCCTCTTTGGTCCGCTGCCATTGCAGTGAAGCCCAAAGCCCCCTTTGAAGTGAAAGGGCCAGTAAGGAGTTCGCACAAATATTGTATTCTTTCTTGCGTTGCTTCCATGCCCAGTTTCCCTGAATCTTGTAGTTTTGGCTGGGTGATATGGGGATTCGCGCCCCTTGAGGGCAAATTAAATCCATGAGACTTGTTTTTCTTGGGTGGGTTGCTTCGTTCCTTTGCTTTCTTCAAGCCATGCACAAGGCTTTTGGATTTGACCTCGGATAAATGGGAGGCGTTTTGCTCTCCGCGTTCCTTAAGTCTGACATGTGTTTTGTTCCCCAGTTCATCCAATTTGACCGATTTAAGGCGGGTACTCCCCTACAGATTAACATGAAACTCCAAAACACCGCCATTTGGAGAGGAATCTCCTTTTGGGACTTGCACCCCCCCCTTGGGTTCTCTCTCGTCAAAACTACGATGCTTGGCTCAGGCAAGCAGAACTTCCTGAACCTCTTGGTCTCCAAAAGCCCTGCAGAGGCCCTGGCGGAGTTGTCCAAGCTGGTGCCGCCTGGCCGAACCCAAAAAATGCGAAGGGATGCGTGAGGCATGAGGCAAACCCGGCGGGGAAGGGGGGTGCACCGCCCCTGCTTCAAATGCCTGCCGTGGGTCGGGGTATCACGTCAACCCGTTACCAAAGAAGGATCTATATTTACCGTAAAACGCCCGAGCGTTTGTCACAAGCTAAGAATTAAGCAAGCAGGTGTTTGAAGTAGGGGGTATGGTTCAAATGAGGGCCCCGTAGGGAATTGTTGCAAAGGAAGACAAAAGAAAAGAATGCAAGCATTTTAGCGGCTCACCCATTTTGACACAGATCCGCTTTATTTTCCCCATGCAGGCACCCGCAAGAGGATTGATCGTCGTACTACCTTTGTTTTCCCTTGGTTTCTTCAATATCGATCCCTCAGAGTGAAGGAGTGCTTTTTTGTTGCAAGTTAGACCCAACAAGGGGTAACACGAGCACCCGCTTTGGCGATGTTCTGCTGAACTCTTTCTGCCGGATGCTACGTAGCTCCTAGTGGCTGTGTGCTTTTGTTTGCCCCCGTGATCATGAAACACAAACTCTGGTATTTAGTCACAACGAGCCATAGTGAAGATCGCTTGGGAATTCGTTAACTTGGGTCTCCAAGGGCCATTGAATATAGATCGCTAATGAGCTTTGGGACGTGTGCTTCGAGCAGGTTTCCTCACTTTCCAGCGTCTCACGACCTCTCTGTTCAGGGTTTATTCAAGATACACGTGGGGTAGCAAAAGCAAAGCAACTGTACCATGTGATGCAGCGGATCCAAATCCCTGTGAAGCAGGCGGTTTTTGGATGTGTCCTTTAAGGACCCGCTTTGTTCAAAGGTCCTACGCTGCCTTGTGGCACCCGAGTCGCCATCAACTTGTGGCACTCAAATGGTCCGACCCTGCACCTCTTGGCTGGGACGATCGCTTGCCAGGACAGTCATGTGCGTAGGAGCCAAAACGACCCATGTCTTGGATGGATTCTGGCTGAGGAGAAACCGGACACCAGAAAAGACCAACAGAAAAGCACAAAGCACTACCAAAAAGAACAAAAGTCCCCAGTCCCAACCACTCCACAGGGAGGATTTTTGTTGAGACCCCATTTTTTAGGCTTCCCTTCCCTGGCTTTCCGTGCCTCCAATCAAAACCCAACCGCCTGACCGCCCGCTCCCAGGGGCATGGGGGGCCCCTTCGTGTGGTTCGGCCTGCGAAGTTTGGACTGGGAGCTGGGCATGAAGGCCGCCGACGATGGGCTTGTGTGGCGAAAGTTTGTTCGTTTTCGGACGTGGGCCAGGCCACAGAAAACCGGAGGACCCGCATCTTTTTCTTGACTGTTCTTAGGTTGGATCTTTGGACTTTAACTTTTTGGAACATGAAGGTGTTTTCTAAAGCCCCAAAAAGTTATACACTTTTTGCAGGGGGGTCAACAGCAACCAAGTTTTGGCGCCCTTCACTGAAGGGCGCGTGACGTGTTTTGATTTAGGACTCAGTGACCTGCTTTTGAAAAGGGATCATGGCACCCAAAAAATGAATCGAGGGCACTAAAAAGAAGCTGGGAGGAAACCTTCCTTCAGTCTTGGCGGAACTTTGTGTTTCTTGTGGGTGTTTTTGTGTTGTTGCTTGGGGTGGGTGGGTGGAGGTTCATTTCCGCGGTAAGAGGAAAACCAAGAAGACAACCACAATCTTGTGGGTGTGTGCCCTCTTTGTTTCCCTTCCCCTCAAAAACAGGTGCCTAACCAGAAGAGGAAATCTTCCTTCACTCTTGGTGGAACTTTTTGTTTTTTTTGGGTGTTTTTCTTTTGTTGCTTGGCCGGGGCAGGGGGGGGGGGGCTTTTTGGATGAGTTGGTTTTCTTAAAGTTGGTTTTGGGAGTTGTTGGTTCTGTTCATTGTTCAGCAGGGATGCAACGAAGAAACGAAAACACATTTTTGCTACCATACCAAGGGTGGGTGTCAGGGATTGAAGCAGTTGCAAACTAGCATGAAACCCAAAGCGGGGTGTCCGATTCCAAAGAGGAGATTCCTCTAAAACGGATGGTGTTCTAGGTTTCATTTTGAAATTTAGCGGGTGGGGATGGACGAGCATCCTTTAGAGGAGAGAGAGAACTCTATGGGTGGCTGCCCTCTCTTCAGCTTCCAAAAGGGAACCAACTTCAAATGATCTGAGTTACTATTGTTCCAGCTTTCGGTCTTTACCAGGCCCCAAACTGGTGGTTTGAATTAGTAGGATTTGAGCATATTTGAACCCCTGGCTTTTGAGGGTTGATCGAAATTCTCTGGAACACCTAATCAATCTTAGAGGCAAGCTGGCATTGCTCAAGGCAACAGGAGATCACCATTTACTTCCAGATCCCCGACAGGTGATCCAGTTTCGGTTGGTTGTTGGTCCGGGTGCTCAAACGTGAATCTCGTACTGTTCCAGGTTCTTTGGGCAACAAGTCGACTTGGTTTGCAGAGGAATGTACTCTTAAAATCCGCTTTTCTTCGGTGGGTTCCCCACTTGACATGCAATCAACTGTTCCACTGTTCCACCGAAATCCCTGGGCAACTATGTTTCGACCTGGCTTCGGATTGCCTCGGGATACGTCCTCCCCTTGTTGGCTTGACTGGCACGTGGCACCCCAAACGCCAACAGGCGATGTCGTTTGTTTTTCGGCTAAAAGCTGTTCCCGCACGACTTCCGGAAATGAATGAATGACAATCCTAAAAACAAGGTGTGAGTTTTTGTTGAGGATACACTTTTCAGATTGGTTTAAAGGAGAAGTGGAAGCCAAAGGAACACCTCTTATTTTCACAAGTAGCCATATTGCAAGTAATTGGACGCCTGATCCGCATGTCACCAGGGTGTGGTTTGATGTGATTCGTTTACTTGCATCATGTGGTTCGTCCGCACGTTCTCATTTCGCCGGTTCAACCCGGCAGTTGCCGTACGCGTATCACAGTCGCCTGTAGGACCTTGATTGAAAAAGAAGGGACTGAGTTGGTTTTTTCACTGGGAAGCCTCCCAGGACGGTCCCGCTAATCTTTCAAAGGGAATAAAACAAAGGCAAACCAAGAGTTTGAATTTCCCGGAAAGCACACCAAACGCGCATGAAAATCGGATAGTGCCCGCAGATGTGGCGCTGGACTTTTTCAGGTCTGTCCCGCACCACACCCCCCCCCCCCCCTCACCCTCTTGAAGGGGGGGGGTCCACCACCACCCCCCCCCCCCCCCCTTGCGCAGCAACCCCCCCCCCTCACCTCTTAAAGAAAGGGGGGGGGTCCACCACCACCCCCCCCCCCCGCACAGCAAGCCCCCCCCACCCTCAGGGGGGGGAGGTTCCACCACCACCCCCCCCCCCCCTGCACAGCAAGGGGGGGGGTTTGCACCACCCCCCCCCCCCCCCGCGCAACTTTGGGGGGGGGGTACCACCACCCCCCCCCCCCACCTTGAGCAGCTGTGCAGCTAAATCTTGGTGCCACATGTGAGCAGGGGTGCAACTAAATCTTGCTACAAAAAATCTTCAAAAGTGGCGGGCAGCCCCCCTATGATGTTTCAAGGGTGAAGGTGTGATGATTCAAAGAGGGCGGGCGGATGTTCGAAGTGATGATTCGAGTAGAGGCGCAGTTAAAGCTTGTTGCCAAATGTACTCAGTAGCGGGGGGGTTGGGGGGGTCTGCCGGTCTGCCGCCCCCCCATGATGCTCGAAGAAGAGCTTGTTGCCAAATGTCCTAAGTAGCGGGGGGGTTGGGGGGGCCGCCCCCCCCCATGATGCTCGAAGAAGTGATGATTCAAATAGGCGTGCAATGCAACCTAGGTGGAACATCAAGGAGTGATGATTCAAAGAGGGCGGGCGGATGTTCGAAGTGATGATTCGAGTAGGGGCGCATCTAAATCTTGGTGCCAAATGTACAGAGTAGCGGGGATCTGCGGTCAATCCCTGCAACAAATCTAAAAAAGCAGCCGGGGGGATTCAAAGAGGGCGGGCGGATGTTCGAAGTGATGATTCGAGTAGAGGCGCAGTTAAAGCTTGTTGCCAAATGTACTCAGTAGCGGGGGGGTTGGGGGGGTCTGCCGGTCTGCCGCCCCCCCATGATGCTCGAAGAAGAGCTTGTTGCCAAATGTCCTAAGTAGCGGGGGGGTTGGGGGGGCCGCCCCCCCCCATGATGCTCGAAGAAGTGATGATTCAAATAGGCGTGCAATGCAACCTAGGTGGAACATCAAGGAGTGATGATTCAAAGAGGTGTTCGAAGTGATGATTCGAGTAGGGGCGCATCTAAATCTTGGTGGCAAATGTACCAAGTAGCGGGGAGCTGCGGTCAATCCCTGCAACAAATCTAAAAAAACATCCGGGGGGGATTCAAAGAGGGCGGGCGGATGTTCGAAGTGATGATTCGAGTAGAGGCGCAGTTAAAGCTTGTTGCCAAATGTACTCAGTAGCGGGGGGGTTGGCAGACCCCCCCATGATGCTCGAAGAAGAGCTTGTTGCCAAATGTACTAAGTGGCGGGGGGGTTGGGGGGGGCGGCAGCCCCCCCCCATGATGCTCGAAGAAGTGATGATTCAAATAGGCGTGCAATGCAAATTCTTTTTTTTTCAATTGTGAAGGTGTGATGATTCAAAGAGGGCGGGCGGATGTTCGAAGTGATGATTCGAGTAGAGGCGCAGTTAAAGCTTGTTGCAAAATGTACTAAGTAGCGGGGGGGTTGGGGGGGGCGGCAGCAGAAGAGCTTGTTGCCAAATGTACTAAGTAGCGGGGGTTGGGGGGGCCGCCCCCCCCATGATGCTCGAAGAAGTGATGATTTTAAATAGGCGTGCAATGCAACCTAGGTGGAACATCAAGGAGTGATGATTCAAAGAGGGCGGGCGGATGTTCGAAGTGATGATTCGAGTAGGGGCGCATCTAAATCTTGGTGCCAAATGTACCAAGTAGCGGGGAGCTGCGGTCAATCCCTGCAACAAATCTAAAAAAGCAGCCGGGGGGGATTCAAAGAGGGCGGGCGGATGTTCGAAGTGATGATTCGAGTAGAGGCGCAGTTAAAGCTTGGGGCGGCAGCCCCCCCCATGATGCTCGAAGAAGAGCTTGTTGCCGGGGGGGGGCGGCAGCCCCCCCATGATGCTCGAAGAAGCGATGATTCAATTAGGCGCGCAATGCAAATTCTTTTTTTCAAGGGTGAAGGTGTGATGATTCAAAGAGGGCGGGCGGATGTTCGAAGTGATGGTTCGAGTAGAGGCGCAGTTAAAGCTTGTTGCAAAATGTACTAAGTAGCGGGGGGGGTGGGGGGAACGGCAGCCCCCCCCATGATGCTCGAAGAAGTGATGATTCAAATAGGCGTGCAATGCAACCTAGGTGGAACATCAAGCCGGGGATTCAAAGAGGGCGGGCGGATGTTCGAAGTGATGCTTGTTGCCAAATGTACTCAGTAGCGGGGGGGTTGGGGGGGGGCGGCAGACCCCCCCATGATGCTCGAAGAAGGGCTTGTTGCCAAATGTACTAAGTGGCGGGGGGGGGCGGCCGCCCGCCATGATGCTCGAAGAAGTGATGATTCAAATAGGCGTGCAACGCGAATTCTTTTTTTTCAAGGGTGAAGGAGTGATGATTCAAAGATTGCGGGCGGATGTTCGAAGATATGCTTCGAGCAGGGGCGCAGCAAAATATTGTTGCCAAACGTACCAAGTAGCGGGGGGGTTGGGGGGGGCGGCAGCCCCCCCCATGATGCTCGAAGAGAGCTTGTTGTGTTGCCAAATGTACTAAGTAGCGGGGGGGTTGGGGGGGGCGGCAGCCCCCCCCATGATGCTCGAAGAAGCGATGATTCAAATAGGCGCGCAATGCAAATTCTTTTTTTCAAGGGTGAAGGTGTGATGATGATTCGAGTAGAGGCGCAGTTAAAGCTTGTTGCAAAATGTACTAAGTAGCGGGGGGGTGGGGGGAACGGCAGCCCCCCCCCATGATGCTCGAAGAAGTGATGATTCAAATAGGCGTGCAATGCAACCTAGGTGGAACATCAAGCCGGGGATTCAAAGAGGGCGGGCGGATGTTCGAAGTGATGCTTGTTGCCAAATGTACTCAGTAGCGGGGGGGTTGGGGGGGGGCGGCAGACCCCCCCATGATGCTCGAAGAAGGGCTTGTTGCCAAATGTACTAAGTGGCGGGGGGGGGCGGCCGCCCGCCATGATGCTCGAAGAAGTGATGATTCAAATAGGCGTGCAACGCGAATTCTTTTTTTTCAAGGGTGAAGGAGTGATGATTCAAAGATTGCGGGCGGATGTTCGAAGATATGCTTCGAGCAGGGGCGCAGCAAAATATTGTTGCCAAACGTACCAAGTAGCGGGGGGGTTGGGGGGGGCGGCAGCCCCCCCCATGATGCTCGAAGAAGTGATGATTCAAATAGGCGTGCAATGCAACCTAGGTGGAACATCAAGCCGGGGGGGATTCAAAGAGGGCGGGCGCATGTTCGAAGTGATGATTCGAGTAGGGGCGCATCTAAAGCTTGTTGCCAAATGCCCCCCCCATGATGCTCGAAGAAGAGCTTGTTGCTAAATGTACTAAGTAGCGGGGGGTTGGGGGGGGCGGCAGCCCCCATGATGCTCGAAGAAGCGATGATTCAAAATAGGCGCGCAATGCAAATTCTTTTTTTCAAGGGTGAAGGTGTGATGATGATTCGGGTAGAGGCGCAGTTAAAGTTGTTGCAAAATGTACTAAGTAGCGGGGGGGTGGGGGGAACGGCAGCCCCCCCCATGATGCTCGAAGAAGTGATGATTCAAATAGGCGTGCAATGCAACCTAGGTGGAACATCAAGCCGGGGGGGATTCAAAGAGGGCGGGCGGATGTTCGAAGTGATGCTTGTTGCCAAATGTACTCAGTAGCGGGGGGGTTGGGGGGGCGGCAGCCCCCCCCATGATGCTCGAAGAAGCGATGATTCAATTAGGCGCGCAATGCAAATTCTTTTTTCAAGGGTGAAGGAGTGATGATTCAAAGATTGCGGGCGGATGTTCGGAGAAATGATTCGAGCAGGGGCGCAGCTAAATCTTGTTGCCAAATGTACCAAGTAGCGGGGGGGTTGGGGGGGGCGGCAGCCCCCCCATGATGCTCGAAGAAGAGCTTGTTGCCAAATGTACTAAGTAGCTAGCAGCAGTCGTTTCGGGTGGTCCACAGTCTTCTTCTCAGGCAAGCCCGAAAAGTGGTGACGGAAATGGAAATGGAGGGGGTGGTGGTGGTGGTTGCGTGGGTAGTGGTTGTGGGGGGGGGGGGTGGTGGTGGTGGTGATCATAGTTGGGCGGGGGGGGGGTGGTGGTTCTAGCGAGGGAAAGATGGTGGGGGGGGGGGTGGTGGTTCTAGCAAAAAAAAAGATGTGGTGGGGGGGGGGGGGGTGGTGGTTTAGTGAAGGAAAAGATGTGCAGGGGGGGGGGGGTGGTGGTGGTGGCGGCGAAGGGGTTGGGGTTAGACATGGAGGTGAGTCAAAGGTAAGAAGGGGGGGGGTGGTGGTGGTGGTGACTGGAAGCAACGGGGGGGGGGGTGGTGGTGCTGACGCCTGACCTTCGTGGTGATCACGCCTGAAAAACAGGAACTTTCTGAGAAAATCGTTTCCTTGAGCTTTTTGGGGGGTCGAAGTCTTGCACAGGGGTCTATTTACCGGGATTGAGTGGTTTTTTCGAGGGTTCCTTTCAGGTCGCCGTTAAGGGAACTTCTTTTTTATCCGGGGAGGGGCGGGCTTCCCTAGGTCGACGCAAACCCAGATCGAATCCATTTCCTCAAGGGAACGGATACGACCATAGGTGTCCTTTTTAGTTGGTTTGGTAGAAATATAGATGGCCCTGGTTTACCTGCTGGTTTAATCATCCACCAGGCCCATCTATTTCCCCTAAAAGGACACCTATGGATCAGGCGCTTTGCAACTCCGCGAGGCCATGATCGGGGCACTTCTGTTCTACTTGGCCCTGCTGCTGCTGAGCTGGGGCCCCCAAGAAAAATCGGTCGCTTCTCGTGTTTTGAGCAGGCAGAGGCTTGACCCCGGTGGCTGTTTTTTGTTTCTTGTTCCAGGGCTCCGTTTCTTCATCTGGGGTTCCCTGTGGCTTTTCTTGGTCCTGGGCTGGACCTCGCGGACCTTGCAAAGGCAGCCTGGATCTCACATGGATGCTTCTGTCCAGTTCCTTCTAGTAATTTGGCGGAGACATGTGAAAAACAAACCAGCGGCAAAAAAGCGGAGAACCGGGCGACCGAAGAGAAGAGTGGCAGCGGCAACCTCCACCATTTGAAGGTTGCAGTGTCCTGGAATCGGGGAGCCCCAGGTCGACCGGATCTGACCTTTGGTTTCAAGCTGACCGATTCAGAGATGGCAACGAACCAAGCCCTTTAAGGAGAGACCCAGTCTAGTGTCCCTTTCTCTACTGCTATTGGGTTGGATCTTTAGACTTTAACTTTTTGGATTCCCTCATATTTCCTTTTCGCCAGCAAAAAGTTAAACTTTTTGCTGGGGGAGCTTTGTTCCTCCACACAAGAGGGCGGCATGCGTTCCCAAGCCCGCCAAACGGGGGAAGTTCGATTCCGAAGAAGTGGGTGAAATTCACCACAGATACCAGCTGATTTCCAGTCCCTGGGGTTCCAAAGGCGGTTTATGTGATATGTGTTCCGTGAAGGGCGTTGTTTTTTTTGTTTTTTGCCAGGTGCATTTTGGTCGCTCACTGAACAATTCGGGCGGTGCTCAGGGCCAAAGTGTGCAAAGGACTTGGCCTCCATTCCTACAAAACATGCAGAGAGATTACCAACGACGGGCTGAAGCACATGGATTCAGCGTTGTCGAAATTCACGGCGGCCAACGTGCTACGCTGGAAAACAAGCTTTCAGGGTTTTTCACGGTGACTTCTGGCGATTTTGGCGTGGACCACGTTCACACCAAAACTGTCTTGTCAAAAACAGGCTTTGGCTGCAAAAAACAGGCGAGGTGCAAAGGACGTTCAAAAAACAGTCGTGGATTTCCAGGGCAGTGTGTTTCCAGGACCTCTTTGGAGGTTTGAAACAATACTTGTTTGTCGCCAGTTCTCTCGGGGGTGATGTGTGCAGATTGCTTCTGGTCTCGAAAATCAGGATTACTTCTCAGCCAGAAGAAGGTGCCAGAGAAGGAGGACGTGAGTTGTCCGCGGGAATTTGCAGAATTAAGCACATGAACAATGGGTTTTGAGTTCTCGCTCAATGATAGGCCGGCCTCTGCGGTTCACATGCATGCAGTAGCGTTTCCACAGCATCAATAACCCCCAGGGGCGGGAGGGGGGGGGGGTCCGGCTTTTGACAAGCACGACAGTTGACGAGAGGGGGGAGCAATCTGTGAAAAAGCCAAGTGCCCACACCCCGCAGCCAGATAGGAGGTCACAGAAACGCCGATGGCGCAACAGCGCAACATGTGGGATACCCCCGTTACCCTCCTTCAAACATGGAAGTGCACGGACCTTTGAATTAGTGTTGCCTTGTTTGGGAAAGGAATTTTCATATTTGTCGGTAAGCGTAGTCGGCCTGTTGACCGAGCGCCAGATCGTCAGATGTCATGTATGGGTTGTATATTCAGCTTGTGCAACCATAGCATGCGAGGCAGGGATCCTATTGTTTGGTGCCAAGCCTGCTCTCACGCAGCCGCAGGAGAAGAAGAAGAGCGGCAAGAAAGAGAAGAACTGAAGATGCTGAATTGAGGGCATCTGAGCGATGCGATCCTGGAATAGCCTGGGGCAATGTGTTAATGGAACGCAGTGCTGTTCTTGAGAGCAGCCTAGCAACAGACCACTGCGCGCTGGGGCAGAGTAAAACATGCAGCCCTGTCACGTCGACAGCGCAGCGCTAGAGACTGTATTTGTGGTTTCCTTTTGCGCCAGCCTTTTTTGGTTTAGAGTATCCTCCCAAAAATCAAGGCCAGGGTCCCGTACCAGCAACTCTCTTTCAGGTTTGGGAGGAGCATCTCTTTAGGGGGTAAAGGGGAAACCAAAGGGCGACAGTCCAGTTGAGGCTTTCCCTTCGAGACCAAGCCGGGTTCCGATTCCTATTCTGAGACAATCCCAGCCCAGTGATTCCATTTCCCTGTGTATGTCACCAACAAAACCAACCTTTAAGGGCCAAAAGGAGATTGGCAGGTTGCCTACTATAGAATCTGAGGTGTCCAAAGCTAACCTCTCGGTTTGTCCATTGTCATGTTTTGTCAAGGTCCCAAAAGGGTGATCACCTTTTACTTGCAGGTCCTGGCAAGTGAGAGGCTTGCCTGGGATCCACTGGACACCCCTCCCGTTTTTTGCGTTCCATTCGCTGGCGCAGGGCGGTGACCGGAGTCCCTGGTGGCCCGATGTCATGGGAGGCGCAATTCCTTCGACCCGAGTGCGACGTACCCGGTCCTCAGGGACTGGTCCTCTTAAATCAGAGGATCCAAGTACCTCCTGAGGATAGCTTTTTGGGGGGGTAAACAGGGGTCAGGTGCTTGGATCCTCCAGGGGTAGAAGGGGTAGAAGGTCACAAGCTTTTACAGGGAGACTTAAACAGATACATCCGAAATCCTCCAGGTGGTACATATTGGGACAGTGGACGCATTTTGAGAGAGATAGTGATCTTAATACGAAGATCCCAGGTAAAAACGGTCAATCCGCAAATCGGGTCTTCTTTCATTGCTTGAATGGAATCCCGTAAATTGACCAACTTGTGATTCGGGGAAATCCAGTGGCTGAACATGTTTGGTGGTACCCATGTTAGCACGGGCAGAGGTGGAGAATGTAGTCCTTTCACGTTCCTCATTTAACGCGCCACGGTTCTTCTGTGTTAGTGCCTTTTGTGATCACAAAACTACTCTTTTTTTGATCATAAACAAGAAGCAAGGTGCTGTTCATCAAGCATTTCCCACACCCGTAAAGATCATGAGGCTTGCTGATTCAGCCCCCATGTGTAAATTGTGGTATTGTGCCCAGCCTGCTTCTGGGGAGGCATTCAGATGCCCACCGCCCACCCACGAAAGGTTCTTAAAATCTTCTGATCGAAGGAGTTCAGATCATGGGTTTTCCATGTTCGCCCACTGGTTCTATCCAACCCAAAGGAACTTTGCGCCCCAAAAGGGGATGGCCACTTTTATGCCATCACCAAGGCTTTCCATCAAAGACGCCCAGGGCACAAACAACGCACGACGATCGGACCTATTGGTTCGCCAGGACCTGCGCTGGTTCACCAGCCAGCGACGGCCACCGGCAGAAAGGCGATCCGGGGGCAACGCTTTGGTCCCTGGATGGGTGTGTGTGTGTGTGTCGAAATTGCATCGTTGTTTTGGGGTTCCTTGCAGCTGACTCTAAGAAGGGCCGCCTCAAAAGACAGACACCCATAGCTAGATTATGTGTGTATATATATGTATATATGTACAATCACGCCTACATATCACATAAGATATACATACGTACACACATAAATATCTACGTACATACATACATACATACATACATACATACATACATACATACATACATACATACATATATATATATGTATTCATACATTTATACGTTTGTTATTAATTTATGGTTGGATGGTGTTGCTTCCTTGTTCATTTTCTGGGGCGAGGGAATCGGGGTATGGCCAAAGGGTTTGGAGGGGTCCTTTCTTGTCTACCGATGAAGCACAGGCAAACAGCGACATGTTCTTATGTTGCATGTTGGTTTTCGGTTTTCGCAATGCTGGAGCGTACCTGTACCCAATTTTAACGCCACCTTTTGGCAACGCCTTGTTTTGGGGGGGGGCGAGTTTTCGTTGCGATGTTTCAAGGAGAACATGTAAAGTGTTGTTTGATGGGAGACCTGTTTCACAGTAGTGGGTCCAGACAAAATGAAGGGATCACCCGATGACCCGGTGGGATCTTGCTTGAACTTGGTTTACATTTTGAGTTTCAGGAAGTATGGACTAGCATCAAAAAATGTAGTTTTAGGGGTAGGGGCGCACAAGCTGCGGTGGGCTCGCTGGTGGTTTGTGCTATTGTGTTGTTGTTTGTGTGTTCAGGTTTGGTGGGGAGGGGGAACGCATGGTGAACACACCACCCCGGGGCGCAGGAAGGTGGGATTGTGCAGCTGCTTACGATGCGTTAAGTTGCCGGAACCGTGGAATTCCAGGGAAGAATCCCAGAGAACCTCTTGATTTCGTGGGGGTTGAAAAGAGGCCTGCAAAAACCTTTGTAACCAGTTGGGGAGAAACAAATGTCGACGGGTTTTGGACCCATGTGACCAGGAGCAACGGGCAGTTGGCGGATCGAACGTTGTTTGCTTTGAAATGCCAGCAATTTGAAAAAAACACCCTTGTAGAGGAACTAACGTTTGAAGGACCTTTGTCTTGGCGTAAAGCCACAGTCGACTGGTTTCGGGCGCTGAACACTTGGGGACATTGTTGAGGTCGGGCATTTCATACCATGCCAATGAGGAGACTTTACCAGTGCGTGGGGCGGGGGCAGATTATGTCTGCCTTTGCCGGGCAGAGACATAACCGGGGTACCTCGGCGCTCAGATGGCAGACGGCCTTTGACCAGATGAACTGTGAGTGGATCGCCGAAAACCGCCGCTCGCTTGCAAAACAGTATCGTTTTTGTAGAACTCTGGGTGCTAAATGGGATTTTCCCAACATAGCGGACTCTTTACTTGGCATTAAACGCAAAGCAACAGGGACCTAAGCACTTTAGGGGCCCGTAGGTTGAGAAGCACTCCATCGCCCATATGTTTTAAGTTAAGTCACAAGCTGATGGGCCCCTATGGCACCAAGCACCTCAACCCTTTGTCCAACAATGGAAGTAGACAAGCAGGTTCCCGAAGAGGACAGTCTCCAGGCTTGCGGGAGGGCAAAGTTGTTTTTTCACAATGGACAGATTGGTGAAGGATGCAGGCAGCGGGATGCCAATTTGGAAACCAAAGTCAAAACTGGTTCAGGTCGAAGTAGAGCTAAGCATGAATAGAATCGGCCTTGCTTGAATGGCCACGGTTGCTGTAGCACCTTTTGTTTTGTCCCTACTTTGGGCAGCAGTAAAGTGACCCAGGAAAGCATGTCAGACCTAGAGCTAAAGAAACCCTGCTTATTGAGGTTGTAACCGGGAGCTCTGCGTTGCCTTGTTTGGGTAAGACCCAAAGGATGCAAAGTTGGGCACAAGCCTTGGCCTAAGGGAATTTGTGCGTTTTCCCGAATGGTTCCAAAGGCAAACCTTGCTCATGTTTGTGGGATCTGGGGTTTAGGTTGCCACTGTCTGGGACACCAACAGTGAACCATGTGCTTTCATGGTTGTGGGACGTAGGGTTTCACCTACTTTCTGTCGTAGGGCTAACCCCTAAGTGACAGTCAGTAGTCACAAAGCATGGCCCACTTTGGTATCACAAGGCTTATTTTTCCCCATGACCCTGTTCTTGAAGGGAACTGTTTCAATTTGGCAACGCCTACCAAGATGGCTGGACCACTCCCCATGTGAATGATGTCCATCAACAGGCCCCTGATTTAAAATCACACCCAAGTGACTAAGTGCGGTAGGTGCCGCATATACCCAGATTTACTCTATAGGTTGAGTTGGTCAGAGAGGGAGTGGGGGAGAATGGGCTCTGCAGATGACCCGTTACACATGGAATTGGGGGGGTTCACTGGAACCAACTTTCTGGTTCCATTTCCCCTTAGTGACTAGATGCCCTCAAACAAACATGGCTTACCCGAAAGAAAGTTCAGCTCCGTCCAGATGGTTCAATGTTTGGTTGGCCAAATGGAACTGGGGGATCGGTTGGTCAACACGTGGCCTGCGGAGGTCGCTGTGGCAGCGGGTGACGGAGTAGGAGTACATCTTTTCGAAAGCCCATTTCCCGTTTTTTTAAACCAACAGCCGAGACAAGTTTATTGGGGTCTTTGCCCATATAGGCTGAGTGGTTCGGTCTTTGCGCTCTCTACAATTTGATTGATGAGTCTGTTGGTTTCTTTCAAATAGGTAGAGAGGGGGGTTGCTTGCTTGCTTGCTTGCTTGCTTGCTTGCTTGCTTGCTTGCTTGCTTGCTTGCTTGCTTGCTTGCTTGCTTGTTGTGGGTGAGTGGGTGGGGTGTTGGTTGGTTGGTTGGTTGGTTGGTTGGTTGGTTGGTTGGTGGGTTGGTGGGTTGGTGGGTTGGTGGGTTGGTTGGTTGGTGGGTTGGTGGGGTTGGTTGGTGGGTTGGTGGGTTGGTGGGTTGGTGGGTTGGTGGGTTGGTGGGTTGGTTGGTTGGTTGGTTGGTTGGTTGGTTGGTTGGTTGGTTGGTTGGTTGGTTGGTTGGTTGGTTGGTTGGTTGGTTGGTTGGTTGGTTGGTTGGTTGTTTGGTGGGTGGGTGGGTGGGTTGGTGGGTGGGTGGGTTGGTGGGTTGGTGGGTTGGGTTGGTGGGTTGGGAGGCAGGTACCCTCCCTATGGGTTTTCGAAGCCAGCGGCCATTGGAGGCCGGCGCAATCGCCACATCGCTGGCAAGGCCGAGTTCAATTTCGCCATAGCGGCTTGGTCACGGACCGCTCGCTTCAAGGCCTTTTTCGGCCTTAAGTCCTGAGGCAGTGTTACCCCCAAGACACTTCAAGGGTCCAATGGACAGGTGATACTGTGGATGGGCCACCTAAGAAACCCTGCAATGATTTGACTTTCCTGTAAATACCAACAAACAGTGGGTTCCCATGTGGCTGTGGGTCAAAACCTCGTACCCCCAGTGAACATCCCAATCCAACCACTAAAATAGGTTCTAAAATGGTTGGTGATTTCACCAATCCCCCCAAAATGGGATCCCATTGGTGTTGACAACCACGGCCATGTTTTCGAATGCGAACGAATTTTGTCCAGCGACCAGACATGAGGGCTTAGTCCAGACTCAATTGGAGCTTTCCCAGAGCCCATCGGCCCCGGACCTGTCAGTTTGGAAAAAAAGAAACGGGCTCTGCGAAACATCCAAAAAGAAACAGACGCAAGGTGATAGAATATTTTTAGTCCAAGCAAGTCAACCCAAAAAACAGAAGCAGCACAAGCAGTCACACAGAGAAGTACATCGATATGGGTGCAATATATATATATATATATAGGCCGCACCCCCATGAACTACCTTTTGGGTGCTGTTGCAATGTCTCAAGGTCAATAGTTCTACTTATAATTGCATGACCATATGCATATGCATATATATATATACACATGTATATATTTATTTACACACATATATATATATAAATGTATTTGTTGATGTAACAAGTTTTCTGCCTCTAGGTGGTGCTGCTGCTGACGAACACCACGCTGCTGGGGTTCGAGGTGGATGACGCCAGGTCCCTGGTGATAGGCGACAAGTTCGCCTTTGTGATGCTGGAGCTGTTCTTTGCCCCTCGGAAGAAGCGAGCGCTCAAGGACACATTCGCAAAAGAAGCGCTAAATCCCTGTGTGTTTCAAGAACCCATTCCCATGAGGGGCCCTTCTGTAATTCATCCAGGCATGCAGGATCCACCCTTCCAAGATAACCCCAATAAGTACAGGGGGGAGGCGGCGGAAGCGAAGAAGACGGGCACATCAGAGTGGATAGGCCAGCAGGTGTGATGTGAGATTTTGTGTGTTGTTTGGTTGTACTGTTTTATTATTAGTATCATTATCATTATTATGTTTCTTCTTCTTATTATTGTTATTGTTATTAGTATGTGTCCCTTACGGAAACCCATAATTTCTGGTATCCAAATGCCTATGTTGATATCCCCAGCCGGCTGGATAAACCTAAGCTTGATCATTTCCTGGCGCCCCTCAATTTCAAGCCCCAACCCCCCCCTCTCCCCCAAAAAATATCATTTGGTACGTGAGTCGGAACACCTTGCTTTTGTTTGGCAAAGCCAGAGGCGTGCCCTTGGGTCATCTTGATTGAACATCACCCCAGGTTCCATAGAAACCCACCAAGCGTTTTGCCCATGTGCCCTTATCAGGTGAGCTCCCTGGCAGCCGAAAAGCTGTTCCACGTGTCTTCATCTTGGAACCTTCTGAAAAGCACCCGCAATCTTGGATGTTCCATGCTCAGCGCAGAAGTGATGTCCTTTCACCCATTTAGCCGCATCGATTCTTCCAAAAGCACACATATGGTTCTGGTAACAATGCCCAGTCAAGGATTTACAAAAGGTTAACTAGTTTGGAAGACAGCGTGCGTTCCTGCAGGTTCGCCATCAACTCACAGGATTCCGTGTCTCCTTTTGGGTCAGCGTATGCAAACATGCAGGGGAGTAGTTAAAGCATTGCGTGTCTTGTAATACTGTTTGCAGTCCCGTGGTTGTGTCTCTGGTGTGCCTTCTTGGTTTCATGGTGCTTGTGCTTGGGTCATTCTAGTTCTTGTTGTTGTTTAGAGAAGTGTGCAACTTGGAGTATTGTGTTTGTGGTAGTGTTGTCAATTGTCCTTCTTCCTGATTATTCATGTTGTTTTGTTTGGTTGTTTGTTGGTTATGTTTGTTTGTTTGTTTGTTTGTTTGTTTGTTTGTTTGTTTGTTTTGTTTTGTTTTGTTTTGGTTTGTTTGTTTATTTGTTTGTTTGTTTGTTTGTTTGTTCGACTGGGTGGTTTTTGTTGGCTCTTCTTGTTGCTTGTTTTCTTTTGAAGTTGTTTGTCGGCCCTTGTCGTTTTTAGTTTGCTTGTAATGTCACCTGCCTTGGTGCGGTACGGCGAGGCAACGACATTTATCGTCGAGTGGCTCATTCGGGTTGACCAGCAGCGGTGGGAGTTCTTCAACCACAACTGGCACCTCGACGGTCCGGCGGTGAGTTCCTGACCCTGGCAATCCCACAGACTATGTGCGGGTATATTCTTGTTCAGCCTCAACACTCTCATATAGATAATATGAGTTAAGAGTATATGGTTCAATCAAACATGCATGTATTTGTGCTTATTTGCATTTGTGCTTACACACGTGCATGTACACACCCTTACATATGCAAAGCATGTATATGTATTTAGTTGACTTATTGTTTTGCTTGCACGTTTAGCCCAAAAGGGACGCATGATGTGTTTTTTCTGAGGTCCGGTTCTCTGGCTGGTTGGTTGGTTGGTTGTTGGTTGGCTGGGTTGGATGGGTTGGCTTGGCTTGGTTGGGTTGGTTGCTTGCTTGCTTGCTGGCTGGCTTGCTGGCTGGCTTGCTTGCTTTGGTTGGTTTGCTGGTTTGCTGGCTGGCTGGCTGGCTGGCTGGCTGGTTGGCTGTTGGGTTCGGTTCGGTTGGGTTCAGCTGGGTTCGGTTGGGTTCGGTTGGGTTGGTTGGTGGGTTGGTTGGTTGGTGTTGTTGGGTTGGTTGTTGGGCTGGTTATTGGGTTGGGTTGGGTTGGGTTGCTTGGGTTACTTGGGTTGCTTGGTTGCTTTGCTTGGCTTTGCTTTGCTTTGCTTGGCTTGGCTGGTGGGTTGGTATAAGGAACATCTTCGACTTCAGCCTGGTGCTGATGGGCTTCAACGACGCCATGATGACGGCCTTCCGCCCGCTCGCCGGCACTCAGCTGGCCAAAGCCTTCCGCGTCTTCCGGGGCCTACGGGTGGCGAGGAACGTGCGTGGCACCTCGGACGAGAAAGACTGACGAGGTGGGTTTAAACGTCACTTTGTTTTGGCCAGTTTATGGTGAGTTCGCTCAATGTTTGGTTGTTTGAACATCACCCTTTTGGCACGTTGATGGCGAGTTCCCTTTGTTAACAGTGATGCTTTAATGAGTTATGCAGGGAACACTGTCACAAAAAAGCTTTAAACGAGGGAATGCCCCACACCGAGGTTCCCCCCCACGGAAAGAAGGAGTGAAGATAAATACATCAGGGTGAGTGGCTGAATTGTCTGTTTCACATTTCCTTGAGCCATCCCTGTTTGGGGAAAAGCTGTAGCCTTTGGATCCCTGGCAAGGATCCAAGAACCCAGATCCGAGGCAAAAGGGTGAGCTGGAAGCGGCTCAAAGGCTTAGTTGGTTTCATTGAGCTTCACAGCCCGGATGGCCGGATGGTCTGTGCCGTCTTTGATCCCACCTGTTCCGGTTTGATCCTGGTAGTCGCAACTTGGGCCATGCATAACTCTGCCGACACCGCATTTCGAGGCTTAAACCGTCTACAACCCGGGTGTGAACCCCATCCGGAAAACACTCAAGGGAGATCGCATCTTTCTGGGCTTCCCCTTTTTTCAGACGCACCCCATATTTACCAAGGGATTGCCCCCCTACCTTCTCTTAGCAACTGCAAAAGAAAGTGGTGCCCCGTGACAACTTGCACACACGGACGCAGGAGCGTATGTACCAGAGTTTGCCAGGATTAAAGTCACATCCTCCAAATCATACGCGAAATGACTTAAAGGGACACCGGCAAACCTAATTTTGCATGTAATTAATCCTGATTTTCCACTTGGGTGTGTCTTTTTGAGGGTTCCCCTGTTTTCTGGCTTTTTCATGGGGACACCAAACGGAGCAGCGACGCCACTCTCAAGTTCCTGCCGCTTCAGGCGTGGCGTGGCTCTCGGGCCTGTGGTTCATCATCGGTGGCCTGCTGGACTCCTTCAACACCGTGAGCCCTTCGAAGGAATTTTGGTTGGACGGGGCGGGCGTTGGCGCAAAAACAAAGATGGTCACGGATCGGATCCGTCTGCAAGCAAGCCACGAGCATCTGGGAGGCGCAAAAAGCGGGTGGGTGGATCCCGGCAAGCAAGCCGCAAGTCGAAAATAACTTCTCCTCAAGGTTCTCCCCGGGCAGCCTTGGGTTGCTTGCATGGGTAAGTGGAATCACTGTTTTGCTTCGCGGTAACCCCAACTCTAGTTGTTTAGGCCCTAACTCCTGGATGGCCTTGAGTGGAAGCCAGGAGGCTGCAAACAGCCACATGTTTGAGGGTTGAAAGGGCATGGCCTCAGCGAGTGGGCAAACTCTCAACCTTCCTCATTTGGGTCAAGGCAGGAAATGCTTTTTCTGGCCACAAAAACTCAACAGGTCCTTATACGTCCGTCTTTGGTGGGACCCAAGGGTCACTTGTTGGGCAGATTGACGTCCTTTCTGGCTTTTGGCGAGCTTGAAAGAGGACGTACAAGGACGCATGTAGAACCCAGGGAAACTCAACTGCACTGGGATTTGCCAGGTAACCCTGCTTTCTAGGCATCTGGTACTAACGTATACGTTTTGTCTGTGGCTATTTGGTTGGGACTTTAACTTCTTGGGAAACAGTGGATTTTCATTGGACCCACCAACAGTGAAGCTTTTTGCCGAAGGGGTCAACAGCAACCAAGGTGCAAATCGCGAGAGTGTTCAACCCGGCGGGTTTTAATGGGCAGGAGTCGAGTTTGTCCTTTAGAGGGCACGGGTCTGCAGCGGCCATGATGGCTGGTTGAATCACAGTGCTCTTCTTTTTTCTGCGGCCACTCAAGCTGTTTCTTTCAGCCCCGCTCCCCCGTTTTGCTGTCAAAGAACAGGTGGGACGCCTAGAGTGGCATCCCTCTCCGCCCAAAGGATTGCCCACAGTTCTTGTTTGGAGCACTTTCCTGGCCTTTTTGAAGTGAGCGTCTCTTTAGTGTTTTGGAGTTTAACTTAAAATTGGGAGGCCCAAAATGGTTGGACTGCAGCGCCTGCACGCTCGGGTGATAAGTCCGGTCAAGCCAAAATCCACTCCGGAACAGACCCTCAAACCTGGGTCGATCCGCCCAACCTGACTTTTTTGGACCAGCTTTTTGGTAAGTTAGACGTTGTTTTTTGGGGTGGAACCAAAAACCGTTAGGAGGTTCGGAGATGATTGGCTCATTGAGTGCCGTGCAAATGAACAATCTCCGAACTCCCGCGTAGAGGCATCTCCTTGCTTGTGGTCATGACCTGTGGCTAAAAGAGTCCAAAAGTGTCTGTTCGGAACAAATTCACACTTATTGGAGCAATTGTTGAAACGATTTCACAGTTGTCCATTCCGCACATCTATTAAATCATGAGTGCAAGATATTCCAAAGGATCCCAGCGTATGGAATTATCGTTGCAATTTCCTGCTTTGGATGCTAAGCAACCAACCCATAGTGTTGATGTTGGGTTCCAACAGGCGGCCCAAAACTTCTTGAGGTTGCGTGTTTGTTGAAGTTGTCCAGGCTCCCCAATCAAAACACCCGATGCTGATCTTCAAAGCGACCCAGCTGATCAGATGCCTGCAAGGCTTGGTGGCCGCCATTGCGGGTATCTTGATTTATGCCATTGCCGTCGCAGTGACTGCGGTGGTGCCAACAGATCCGGTGCTCCTGTCTTTGTGGCCTCCGGCGAATCTGTACCATGGCTTGCCCCAAACATGGCCTGCAACTTCCACCCCACTTCTGAGGGGTGGAATGTGCACTTTCATGTTTGGTGAGAGGGTAGTCAAACGTTTTGCTCCTTTTGGGCGTCCTTTGTTTTCCCTTTCAAACCGCAAGCGCGTGCTCGCTTTTTGGGTACGTTTGTATTTTTTTGCATCGGTGAGGTACATGGGCACCGTGACCCGTTCCATGGTCACCGTGTTGCAGGTTGCAACCTTGGATAGCTGGGCAGACATTGTACGCCCACTGCCCCTTGACTCAAATAGAAACCAGCGACCGGGTGTGTCATGTTGTGGGGTACCGATGTTTGGTGGCTTTAACGGGAAACCAGAAGGAAAACAAAAAAAAAGGAAGATCACATTTTTGGAGGGTCCCCCAAAAAAGACAGACACGGCTACGGGATAGCTAATGTTGACTCGCCCCCCCTAAAGATAAGTGTGGGGGTTATTACTCAGGGGTCAGCGCTGCAGTATTTTCTACGGGAAAATGCCCAACTAGCCACCAAAACAGCGGATTTGCTGGATTTCCTGCATATTTCCTTTGGCTGGTTCTTTCATTGACCCTTGCAGGTGAATTCCCCTCCCCCATCCGACACGAAGTTTTTGCCACGGGGTCAGATTGGTTCCATTCAAGTGACATCCTCAGTATTCTCGTTTCAACGGTGGTTCCCTCAAAGGTGCTGTCGTTGTTTTATTCAGTGAGATAGACCAGGTTTTGCCACCTTTAATTCATCATTTTCCCTTGCTGCCCCCCACCAAAAAAGCAACATTACCTGCTACCCCACCCACCACCAACAAAATACAACACTTTACCTGAACTCCCCCCCAAGCCTAAAAAGGAAGAACCAACGAAAGACACCATAGTAGGACCACACTTTGAGTGGTTGCAGGGGTTCTATCCTGGCTCCAGGTTAGTCTTGTCTCCGATCGCAGTGTTCACTCTGCTTTCCGGTGTCTTCGTGCTGACCTTCGGCACCTTTAACATCCTGGTGGCGGTGATGGTGGAACGCATCGCCGTGATGGCCTCCGACAGCAAGGAATGAATCGATCGCCTATGGTTTTGATAGGTTTCGAGCGGGGAGTGTATGGGGGTAAACGGAGCGAAAACCAGGAGAAAGGTTTCTCATGGCCTGTACTGGGGGATCCAATTCTTACTTCAGCTCAAATGAGTCACAATCAACACCCGGGTATTTGGAGGGTAAGGGAAAAATCCCCTTGCCATATGTTCAATGAATTCTTTAAATTGTTCTGGGTAGACCATTATTTTGACTCACATGGTGTCTTGTTCTTTGCGGGAATCTGTTTTTGGAGTTGGTTTAAACGGAAATCCCCAAAAAACAGCCATCTGGGGGATCCGCTTTTTGAGACAAGCCCGGATGACATGGGCTCTGACAGTTATAAGATTTAATGGTGAGCTCACCGATCCAGTGGTAAACAAGCAAAACCTCAGTTCAGGTTTTGGAAGTATTGCAGAATTTCCAGATGAAAGGTTGGATGCTCTGGGTTGGGTCTCCGATCCCAAGACTATCCTAAATTTAAAACAGAGTCAGGGCAATGCATATCATATGGACATGTCTTTTAAAAGCTTGGCCCCCCAAAATGGTGGGTTTCCTTTTGGTTTTCCCTCAAACCCACCAAACACGGGGCACCCTCAAGAAGGGCACGCCCATGTTCCCTGTACAGATGTGGGTCAAGGTTTAGAAATCCGCCTGAGATCGGATAAACGACATGCCAAGCCGTGTTGTCCAAAAGGCAGTCCTTAGGCACTGCGTTTTCAGTGACAAGCTGAACTCACCTTGCCCTTTTGCCCTTGTGATTCCATGGCCTAGTTCAGTCAAGGTCTCAACAGGTTGACCCCTTTCTGTTACTATATATATATATATATGCTCACCCCCCCCCCAGGGCCTACCTTTCCACTTCAAAATGTACAAAACCCTCTTATTTTTAAAGACAGGGGGTGTGAGCATATATACGCAAGAAGTGTGCTGTTGCTGCATATTTGTTTGTGGGTGACAAGTCATGTTGAGTAACAACAGCAAAGAGTTTATAAACTTTCAAGACAGTTTATAAACCATGTCAAGGGTTTGACGGTTTCCTTGCAACAAGGGCAGGGGGGGGAGGGGGGGGGGGTACTGAGAAGTCTTTACAAAGTTGGCTGAGTCACACCTCACTGCTAAGACTTCCAACCAACCACCCCCCCCCCCTCCTTCAACGATACCATGAACACTTCGTAGGGTGTTGTTGCCTTGATGCGGGAAACTCGTCAAACACTCAATAAGGTTTATAAACTTTCCTGAAAGTTTATAAACCTTCTGTAGGCTTATTGCGTAGCAAGTGGAGACTGTTGTTTGGGAAAAAAAGGACACTCATTTGAGGCCTTGTTTGATGTGGTTTGGGCATGTGGTCCTAAAAGGTTGATGATTGTGTGTGTGTGTCATCACTGCTGCACTGTTATATCAAAGGCTGTCCATTCGGTCCAAGGGAACACAATCTGAGCAACTGCTGCAAAACACTCTGTTTTACAGCATTTTGTTGGATCTCTAATCCCTTCAAATGTCCAATTTGAAACACCTGAAACCTAGAATCTGGAGATCAGAATCCTTGAGATGTCTAATGTTGGATTCTCCAAGCCTCATAATTTGGAGCCTGGAGTACTCCAACACGAATTGAATTGGAATGTTGAAGGGGGCAAAATGTTTTTTGGGAAACGAACAATCTTCGGCCCAAGGGAACACAATCTGGGCAATTTCTTCGAAACACTTTGTTTTACAGTTTTTTGTTGGACCTGCAATCCCTTGAAATGTCCATGGTGAAGCACCTGAAACCTAGAATCTGGAGATCAGAATCCTCGAGATGTCTAATGTTGGATTCTCCAAGCCTCATATTTTGGAGCCTGGAGTCCAACATATCCAAGTACACATTCCTTTCCAAATACGATTTTTCATCCGAATTGAATTTGCATATTGAATAGAATTTAGTAAGCACATAGTTCACCACCATTCATAATTCACCATAATGTCTATATTAGATCAGAATTTGAACAGGAATACCTTTCCAAATAAGGAAAATATCATTGCAGTAGAATCCAAATATACTTTAATGCAGACAGAGTTCAATTAGCTTTTGAACATAATAATTTAATTAAGAATCCATCCCCAAATACAACTTGAATTGGAATATAGCTTATTCTGGAAAGAAATCACTTGGCCTTTGCAAACAAATTTTAATAGTAACTCATTCCCAAATATGATTTAGCTTAAATGTGGCTAAACAAATAAAGGGCACATATCCCCAGACTCCCAAACTTGGTCTGGAGATGTGTTTGGCATGTGCAGGTCTCAGAGCTTTCATTTTCAGGAGATTTTGTGCTTTTGGGTCTGTGCAGGTTGCAGAGCTCAAAGCTGCCAAAAACATCATTTTTCAATGTTTTTCCCTGGTGTACTCAAAACCACTGTAAAAACCAGTGATTCAATCAAAGCCAGGCTCGAATCTGAAAACGGAATCCGTTTTCGCTTTGCTGCCTGCCTTTCAAGCCTCAAAGAATCAGACATTTGCTGTCATATAGAAGGTAAAAAAAAACACTGTATTTTACAGTGTTTCAGGCATCTGCAAGAAAGAGGCACACAGAGTAGAGTTGACACCTTCAACTAGAAGAGGGCAAAGGTAGGCCCTGGGGGGGGGGGTGACCATATATATATATATACAAGTTATACAAGTCTATTTTTGGATCCAACGCACCTTTATGCCCTTTTGGCCTTTGGGGTTTCCTTTGTTTTCCAATTTGCCCCCTCCAGCAAATGAGTCACCCGGCTCGGATGCGTGCCATGCGAGATGCCGATCAGGAATGCCACCGTTTAAGCCCCTTCATGTTGGGGGCCAATAAGCCGCTTTTTCAATTTGGGGCCAAATTGGGCAAAATTATCCCAAGAAACTGGGGCTGTGCCTGAAATTCAGATCGAGAGACCTATGACGAATTAAGTCTTCAAGCTTGAAGTCATTCAAAAGTGGGAAGTCAATTCTTCCCCAAGCCATATGCCATCAATACGAGCGTGAAGTGTTTCCCTTGTTTTTGGTGGCTTCACCAAAGATTGTCAACCCCCGATCAGGACTCACTTGCTTGTCCAAGACATGTCTCAAAATAGGATTCGGGCTCCAGCACTTCAGTTTCCTGTTGGTAAGCCAACCCCAAAACGGGTGGCGAGCACCAAAATACAAGGGCCTACAGCTTCCGAACCCCTCGGGCGGATCGATCAGGAGGCGAATGCCCGGGTACTGGCGAGCACGGAGAAGGCGCTCTTGCAGCAGATCCTGGAAGAGTTCAATCGCCAAGACCAGGATAAATCTTTGTCGATTTGTCGTTGTTGTTTGTTTGTTTTGTTTTTTGTTTGTTTTGTTTCTTTTGTTTGTTTGTTTGTTTTGTTTGGTTTGGCTTGTTTGTTTGTTTGTTTGTTTGTTTGTTTATTTATTTGTTTCTTTTGTTTGTTTCGTTTATTTTGTTTGTTTGTTTGTTTTGTTTGTTTATTTTGTTTGTTTGTTTTGTTTGTTTTGTTTGTTTGTTTTTGTTTGTTTTGGTTGTTGTGTTTTGTTTGTTTGTTTGTTTGTTTGTTTCTTTTGTTTGTTTTGTTTCTTTTGTTTGTGTTGTTTCTTTTGGTTGTTTGTTTGTTTTGTTTGGTTTGTTTTGTTTGTTTGTTGTTTGTTTGTTTGTTTGTTTGTTTGTTTGTTTGTTTGCTTGTTTGTTTTTTTGTTTGTGTGTGTTTGTTTGTTTGTTTGTTTGTTTGTTTGTTTGTTTGTTTGTTTTGTTTCTTTTGTTTGTTTGTTTGTTTGTTTGTTTGTTTGTGACATTGTGTGTTTGTTTGTTTTGTTTCTTTTGTTTGCTTGCCTGCTTTGTTTGTTTGTTTGTTTGTTTGCGTTGCTTTGCTTTTCTTTGCTTTGCTTTGCTTTGCTTTGCTTGTTTTTTTTTGTTTTTTTTTTTTTCCGGGGGGGGGGGGGTCTGAAACATGGGTGCGGACCGATTTTCCCTTTTTGTTCTTTTGGGGGGGTGGGTGGGTCCAAGTTTTGGGTTTGGCTGGCTTTGAAGGGAACCAACAGGCAAACCACTGTTTTGTGGGCCTCAGGAAAGACACACATGGGTGTGGCTCACTGGGGCAAAAGGCAGGCCCAAGTCTTTGTTTTTCCATTTCAGGGATTTCACTTTTTGAGCCACTGCCAAAATCTGAAAAGGCGGAGTGCAAGTGCGAGGTTCTGCCTTTAAAGCCACCTTTTGATTGCCAATCGGCGGGTCCGGTTTTCGAATGTTTCAAGGGAATAGGGATGCAGTCGCCCGGTTCCACCCTTGCTTCGCTGGTTTTGGGGAGTTCCCTTGAAACCCAACCTTCACGCTGAGGCATAGCTCACTCCAGGCTGTTGGCCCCGATGCACGGAAAACGCAAGGACACAGTACCAGGTCTCCTGAGAGCTTCTTTGACCGTCAGACTAGGTCCCCCAGCAGTGCCCTTTCTCGGCCCTTTTTTGGGGGAAAGTTCCCCTACTAAAATAAACTACGGAAAAAAAGGGCACCCTTCTATCCTCTCTACTGGAGGACCTAGCAGAGGTTTGGCCAACGAGTTTGACGAACACCAGACTTGCTGCTGCCCATTTCATATCGGGCTCACGAGCGAGCACCACGAAGTAGGTCCTTTACACTGGAATCCAATTCTTGTTTCAGGTTTTGGAATGGTTGTAAAAGATGCAGATCAAAGAGGGGCCTAGTGCCCTTCGAGCGGCTGATTGACGACCCCCTTTTTAGGAAGAACAGCTGAACCTGACAAATATAAACGCGTGGGATGTTCGGGCGTGCCATAGCCGCCATTCCATGGGGGCCTCGTTTGTTCGACCCCTAAACCACCTGGGGGTCAAATCAACCGGGCGGGCCAAACAGGGTTCAACTCTGCTCCGCTTCTGTCTGCCTCAGGAGCAGACAGGGCATCTTTGCTTGAAGGAGTTCAAGAAGATGATTAGGCCCGCATTATCCTTTTTAGGTCTGGCTAAAAATAGATGGCGCTGGGTTGGATGGGTTTTTTCTCCATTTACCAGGGCCATCTATTTTTCCCAAAGGCCACCTATGTAGGCCCGGTGCTTGGAGAACGTGGCGGCCTGTTTGGGGGCGGGTCCCAGGTGTGGTCGATGGCCTCGCCCAGACCGCCGGTGGTGCGACTTTCATGGTCCCAGTTGTTCCTTTCTTCCTTTTCTTGTTTTTTGGGAGGGGCGGGGGTCAATTTTTTCCCATGGTCGTTGAGGGTCTGGGTGGTGTGTAGCTCTGAGAGAGGCAAGCATGACTCATGAGAGCTCTGCATTTTGCCAGATACTTACAGAAACGAATAATGGTGCGAAATCGGATATGTACGGCCACTTTCGGTGGTTCCAACAAAGATCGTTTTCAATGGTGGCAACCTACTCGTGCAGATGGCGCCGTTTGGCATGAGTGGTGTTTTTGGGAAAAATTACCGAGAGCTCTATGAATAAATTTCTCGAGGTTTGGTGTGGTTCTTTCAGTTCTTGTTCGGCTGCCTCGACGAGTTCAGTTACCACACAGGGTGCTGTGCCGAATCCTCCGAGAACCCCCCCCCCACCCCCCCCCGGTTTTTTCTTGTTCATCTCAGGGCCCCGTTGCTCCGTGCCCCGAGCCCACGTCTCAAGCCCTCTCCGTCTCCGGACCCTCATCCCCTGGAGGCAGCCCAACGTCATCGGCAAGCTCTCGCTGCTGGGCCTCCGCGTCTCCGAGGCCGAGGAGCTCTTCGCCCTCCTGGACGCCGATGCCTCCGGGGAGGCGGGTGCGCGCGTGGCGGCAAGATGGCGGGATGGCGGTGGCATGCGGTCTGGCGGGAAGCACCCCTGGCTTCCTCCATCTGCCGGCAAAAATGTTGGGATTTGCCGGCAAAATGTGGGGAACCAGTGGAAGCACCCTTGAAAAACGCCAAGTGGAAGAACTGGCGGGATCTATTAGACTGGTAGCTGGGATCCGCTGGGTTGGTCAGCAAGTCGAGGGAGGTGTGAATCTCAATCCCTGAGTGGGAATTGAGTCACTTTTTGGGAAGATCACGTTGGTGGCAAATACAAAGTTCAGACTGTTCTTGGTCAGTCCCTTAGGAAACTAAAAATGGTACGGGTCATTCCCTGCCAAGCGCGAGGCGCGCGCTATCGAAGAGGCTTTTTTCACCCAAACCTTTCCAGAAGGTTGCGAGCCCTTTTTTCAGCTTATTTGACAGGCCCTTTAAAATCAAGTACGAAGAAAAGAGTGCCCTAAGGGCCTAGTAGCACAAGGATGGGAAGCCCCAAATTGAAGGCGAACGCGAGTTGACTAGGTGCTTAAAGCCAACATGCCCATTTTGTTGGGGAGCTTGTTTCCCCCTTGAATCGGTGAGCTTGGCATAAACAAAGGAAGACATTATGCTTACTGTATTGGAATGATCTGCACCAACCCAGCAAGATACTGCGTCTTCTCCACAACCCGCTTCTTCCATGTGAGAAAAAATAGGTTCACAAAGAGGGGCTGCCTGGTTGCCCTCCCACATGGAAGGCCCCACCCTTCCAAGAGTGCAGACTTCCAAAAGGAGCCTATGCATTTGCATGTTGGTGGGTAGGGGTAGGGGTATCTCTGGCAAAACGCCACACGCCTTTGATTCAAGCATAGTTGTGGAACCTCACCCGCCTTTGGAAAGCAGTGGGTTGAGCAGTCCCGAATTTTGGGCAGGGTCCCTTTGCAGAGGGAGGAACCTTTGCAAGGTTGGGTTCAGGAGTTTTCTTTGACCACACGGGAGCCGTGACGATAGAACACGGTCTTTGTGGGCAGGGTAACTATATGAAGCCAATTTGTGGGGGGACTGAACGTCTCCACTGCAGCGACAAGCCCTTCCTACTTCTGGGATCCCCCTGCCCTGGTGTGTTGGGGGAAGGGCGCCCTTTTGGTTCCATACGTGCGACACCACCAAACCAATAACTTGCTGGTGCTCAGCAGAGAATGAGGAAATGACTCCGAAGAAAACCATCCACTATGATTTCCTTAGGTCTAAGGTTTGATTCCCCATTCTCTTCACTCATCGTTCCCCATAGAAATCATGTATTTTTCAGGGTTTGGCAACCATTTTTTTGAAGAGAAGGATGCCTGAAGAGAATGGGGAGGATACAGCTAGATGAGGGGCATCCGGAATCCTTCCGCTTCATTCCCACCACCCAGCACCCAAAAGGAGTTCAAAGGGGTGGAATGGCTGACCCCACAGGTCAGCGGGCAGGAGCTGATTCAAGGCATCCAGCGCCTTGAAAGCGAATGGGTTTGCTTAGGATTAGACCTTCTGTTGTTTTTTGCTTGGTCCATATTTCTTGATTGATATTGGCCTTATTGGCTGAAATCATTGGGATTTCCATTGAACCCACAAAAATAAAACTTAACTCGTTGGAGAGGGGTCAACAGCAACCAAGATGATTTAGTCAAGGTCACAAAAGGTCCACCTGTTAGTGTTGAGTTCTTTGGGCAAGCTAGCCTTTCAGACCTTCCAATTTGGGTGTCAATCGGGTCGAAGCCTTATGCCTAAAAGTGTTTACACTTTGGATGGGGTTGTGGGGTGGTCGTATGTTCAACCAGCAGTACAAAACCTCTGGTTGATTTTCATTGGGGCGTGTCCCCGGTCTAGCTCAGTCCCTTACGGTGGCTATCCATTTTCAGGGGTTCGCATGTTTTCTGTTTGGGGGTGGTTTTTCATTATCGCGTTGATGTTTGTTTTTGTTTGGAGAGGATGTCACTTTTTTCCAGGCCCAACCAAGAAAAGCAACCCTTTGGTGCGGTGTGTTCAAGGACTCTCTGGAGACAAGCCGGTCCGTCACCCGGGCGATTGTCAAAAGCGCTTCAAAGGGGAGTTCCTGCTAACTGGGGCTTCAAGTCGATGTTCAGCCACGCAAAGGCACATCGCTTGCCTTGGGTTGAGCATCAAGTTGCACTCCCGAAGTGTTCGCATGTTGACATGTGGAACCCTCCATCTTGGTTTTTAAGCAATGCTGGGGACTTTTTCTGGGCCCCATTTACACAAGATTTGCAAAAATGTGGGCAGGAATTTGAAGACAGACACTCTCACGTCTAGTTGGGCCGCCGCGTTGGGTAGAAGCTATACTTGTTTGGCTCTGTTTGAATGATCGGCGCAAAGGTCGTCGGATGCTCGAAGCCTGCTGGGATAGAACATGAGTTTGATTTCGAATGCTTTCTCATCGGTTTCCTCGGGCTTTTCTGGGTGTCCTTTTGCTTTTCTTGGTGAGCATGTAGTAAATTTTGGGTAAACCATGGTTGAGCCGTTTAAACAAATCAGTTTCCCTTGTTGATCCCTCATATGCCAGGGTTGCTTGAAGCCCCAAACAGACCATCATAAGCCTTTCGGGCTAACCGCGTCTTTTGGTTTCCCTTTTCTGTTGCAAACTTTCCACAAGCTTGGGCCGATCGAGTTGGATAGGAGCAACCCTGTTGTTCTTTCTAGTCATAGTTCTTGTCAAAATGTTCAAGTTGGGAAAAGTCGCGTAAAGTCGCACATAGTTTCCTGTTGTTTTCCCTGAGGGTTGCCACACATTCTAGCCTTTCAGGGTTGAACGCAAAATCCACATTTTGGTACTTGGGAGCACTGGGAAACGGCATCGGTCAATCTTAATTCAATCGGCCGAAACGTTGCATTGAAACTAGGTTTCATCCACCGCACTGAGCTATGACTGGTGGCATGCCGCCTCCTCCGAGTTTGGAAAGGTTGAGGACATCCTCAACCATCTGACTCAGGAAAACCAACTAGCAGGGAAGCCAACTAGCAGGGATACGGGGGGAACCAGCGATACGGGAGGGACTATCAGGAAGGCACAGCCCCAGGATGTGCCTGCGGAAGGCCTCGGCCCCGCGACCAACTTTGATCAGTTGTCCCTCGGGCAACAACTACTCTCGAAAACATACGGCGCAGGGAAGTCGATGTTGAGTGCTGACTTTACAGCATCAGTGAGAGATGTCTCAGCCACTCACTTCAGTAAATCGAGCGAGCTTGCGGAAAAAGCTTCCTCCGGATTGATCGCCAGCAGCGATCAATCGGCCTTTGTTAGGCCCTTCGCCGCTAACAGACGGCCCCCATTCACCCCAGTGACCCCGGCTCTCAGGCCGGAGAGGTTCAGTTTATCCTTCAGCCTATGCCAGAGCTGAATGAGATGAAGACTCTTGCCAAAGAGTCGGTCACGGTCCCTCTCCGGCTAACAAAACAGGAACCATTTGTATGCACAGATTACGGGGCATACAACCTGGGAAGCGCGCTTCATGTCCGCCGTCAGTCCCGACGGACGACCCTTGACTGCAAAGGTCAAGTCCCAGCTGCTTCAAAGCACCATCCTCCTCCGACACTTCATTTATCCTGGCTTTGGCGTCCTCAAGGACCCGCCGCGAAGTCTACGGAGCGCGCCTCAAGGCACCCTCTTGCCCGCACTTTGGGTGACGTATCTGTTGAACAAGCTCTTGGCGCCCGGACGCCCGCCTCATGCATCCGATTGCGCTCTGCAGCCACTGCCTCTTCCATCCCTCAAGTCACACTTGAGGACGAATATCGTGATCTGGCACTCGATGTCGTGGTGACCAAAGAAAGCCTTCGTGACTCAGTCGGCCTGGCTTTCATACGCATTGACGCGCAGGCTGTCTTTGATAGGGCAGATATTGCAGCCATGCTGGTCTTCACTCTGGGTCTGAAAGGTATGCCAGCTGTCGTTTCATGCAAGGGCTCTTGACGTCGCAGCGCCTGTTTATTGATGACGGCTTGGTTGCATTGCGCACTGGCTTCGGATGCTTTACCACCGGCTTTAGCGCAGTTGCGCTGTGTTTCTTCAGTGGTTTTCCTGGGGGTCCCTCTTCGGGTTTTTGTGCACGACGACCGCATGCTCGATTCGCTACTTTTGTTCCGTGCTTTGAGGGCTTTTATGTCTTCCAAGCGAGTTCTCACTAACCCACGTATTTGGATTGCACAAGCGTGCGGGGACCATCATGTGGGCAATTGGACGCATTGAGCCGAGTGCCAGAAATCTTCAACCATCTCGTGTCCAGTGCACATCCATTGCAGTTTGGTTTCTGGGCCTCGAAAGGCATGTGGCCTGGACCGATTTTCACCAATATGTGGACATGCGTCATGTTGCGTAGCTTTGGTTCCGGGTTAAGTGGTCTGGGCTGTGGGATTTGCTTCTGGCAGAAAGATATCGGTCGTTGCTGGGTCATGTACTTCGTAGTGCTGTCAGTCACATTGCTCGCGATGTTGTATTTCAGCTACATGCAGAAGCAAGGTATGGACTCAGAGTTCGACACAGACGTGGCACTGATTATGCCTCAGCGCATCGTGCTAGACAGCAGAGCATATGTGCTGGTCTCGGAAGTGCCTTCAAGGTGTTATGACGGTCAGCCTCACTATTGTGCTCCATGTGCGCAATTCCACGCTGCAATTGCGGCGATTGCATGTCGAAGAGGGTTTGCAATCTCGTGCTGCTGACATGCAAGTTGGACCTGCCGACATGCAAGTTGGACCAGACTGGTCGCTGGTGGAGTCGCTTCTCTCGCACTTTGTTGCCGGCTCAATTGTGCATGTTCGGCTTTTCTTGCAGCTGTCCTGCAGCGAGCTTCTTGCTAGTGTGCCGCCTGAGTTGCCAGCCTTGTGGGTTGCCCATTCGGTGGTGGTAGAGTATAGTTGTATTTTGCCTAAATTCTTAGAAGCTTTGCTTTTTTTCAATTTGGCTGCGTGTGTCTTGAAGTACCCCACCTTTTGGTGGAGGGGTGCCCAATGCGGTGCCCGTATGAGCACTCAGTGTGGTGCTCTCGGGGGATGCGCAGGGAAAACCATCCTGGAAGTTGGCCACATGTCGTTCCAGGTATTTTTCCCAGAGTCCAGGCGGGCTGCGTTTTTCTTGTTTTGTTTTTTCCCTTTTTTCGAGGGTACCCCTTGCACCTCCAAAAGGAAATCCACCAGTTTTGGGTCCCCCTATTTCGACACATACCCAGGTTGATTCGTGAAACCTCTACTTGGAGACAACTCCACATGGAGGTCTGAAAATGGACTCCTTTATAGGACATAAGCCTAGATATTTTCCCCAACAGCCCAGTCCAAACTGGCGCCTCAGCGACTGAGGCAGTTGAAGGGCCCTGCCAAAGGCCAGGATGTCGTCTATCTAATCAGCATCGCACAAAAGGAGACAAGGGAGGGGAGGGGTCTCCTTTTCTCACTCCCTGAGTTCCTGGATTTTATTCACTTCTTTGGGGGGCCAGTTTAATGTTAAATAAAGAAATTTGGACTTTTGGCCAACCCACCCTGGAAGTGAGTTTTTGAAGCTGCTTTACTTAGGTGTTTCTCAGGAGTTGTTTTTTTTGTGCGGTTGGTTTCCTTTGGGCTTCCTTTTGAAGAGCCAACAGGGGTTCCGAAGCTGAAGTCCATTTTGAGAAATCCCCATGCTTGAGGTTACATGTGCCATATTTGAACATTGGAGCTTTGGTCCCAGGGTTGGGCCTGCATCATTTCTGAGGTGTTGGAAGCCAACTGGGAGTTCCAGAAGTTGTTGATCCCTCATTTGAGTCACTAGCTCGTAGTCTACTGGGGAAGCAAATAGTTTGTGTTGGAGAAAAAGACAAAACCTTTCCAAGTCCGAGTTTCTGGACAAGCCTGTTGGGACCATTTTAGTGGCACACAAGAAGTTTGGAAGGGTATTTTGGTCAATCTCAGGAAGTGAGTGAAGCAAGAGGTTGCAGAAGTTCCGCCAACGGATGCCCTCTTAGCCTTCCTCAGGCTTGCCCTCAGGGCACTCCCGAAAGCTCAGTAACACACACACACACATCAAATCTCTTGGATTCAGTAGGCCCTTCGCAACAGAGTTCGAAGATAAGCGGAAAATGGATCAAGTCTGAAGGCCTTGAGGGCCAATGGCTTATACCGGGGTCTCCTCCAAAGCTATTTCGATTTTATAGATTTTGTTTGACTAATTAAATTTAACATGTGTTGCTTTTGTGTATCCGGGATCCTGGAACAGTATGGGCCCAGGGATAAACCCATCGCAATGCTTTCCGCGGTTAAGTTGGGAATCGGGAAAACCCCCAAACCCGAATTTCAATGCAGCTGAAGGTATGCAAGGCCTAGGGTGTATCATGATTGGCTGCTCTCGGTGGACTTGACGAGATTTGGGATATGTCAAGCCGGCAAATCCTTCCAATTCCTCGCGTTGTGTTGGTCGGAGTACCTTTTGCGGTCGGTCGCCCAGAAGCGCGTCCCTGAAATCCCAAACTCATAGTTGGATTAACAAAAACAGACGCAGGAGGTCATACGAGAACGGGAGTCTTGCGTGCATATGGGAGTGGTTCAGGGCATACACACCCCCAGCACACAATGGCCGTTGGTTCCGAAGCAAAGACATTGCAGCAGTTTTAAAGGCAATTCTTGTAGGCGGCTCTGCCGCAAGTATTTCGGAAAGCTCTTGGACAAGTGGCTGTTCTCAACATCGTGGTATCCGAGTTGTTGCCCCTATGGTCGGTTTCCTTTCAACCTGAAGGGGGCCACCCAATTTGCAGGGAAGGCATAACCCCTGACGGGTTTAAAGCCAAGCACTCTGCAAATTGGTTGTCTTGTTATCTATGTCGTGGTGGTCAAAGTTGAAATTTCTGATTGCGACGCAGGTTTTTGTTTCGGGGCATGGTGTTTTGGAATTGATGTCAACGGAAGCCAAAGCGGAACCTCCACAATTGGCAACCCGGGACCCTGAAAGAGACACCCAAATCCTTTCTTTTTCATGAGCGGTTGTCAGCGAGGAGAATTGGAGAGCTGGGTGTTTCGTGCTGCGCCTACAGCGCCTCAATGCTCGGGTGGATTCCATCCAGGCCGGGTTTTGTTCAGAAACTAGTCTCCCCTATTCAGACCGAAATGGGTGTTGTGTTTTGAGGGTAAGCTTTTTGGGCTGGTTTAATGGGAAACAAGCAGGAAAACAACCATTTTGTGGGTTCTATTTTGAGACAAACCCAAATCATCCTTGCCTGAGATCCTGGACTGTAGTCACTTTTTGGGAAGACTATCTTAATCTTGACCCCTAATCAGAAACCCCTTAGCTGTTATTCAAGGGGTTCCTGTTTAGTGGGGATTCCTTTATTCCAGGCCAGATTGATAACTGGGGGGATATGAATCAGGGGCCAAAATTAGTGGAAAGCAAACCTTGTTCTTCTGGCCAATCCACAGAAGAGAGAATCCGTGTTTGTTACCCTCAGGGAAAAAATCACTTGGGGTCCTTCCCTCTAGTAAACGACATGGTTTTACTTACACGTGGGTTTTACTTGCTCGTCTCTCTTGTCCTTTCAGTGCTAGTACTCTCTTTCTCGGTTGCCCAAAGCCGACCTTGCAAAAGCCTTGCCTTCTTCCGAACGCATGGCATCCAGTTATGCGTACCACAAGACAAGCTGGCAGTCCCAGGAATTTTCTCGACCCGCGTCATTTGAAAGCAACCCATGCTCACCAAAAGTCTTGACTGATTCTTTCCTGGAACGCCATTCCAACCCCCGAAGACCACATTCCCCCATTGAACGACACGCCGAGAGACACCAGGGACCCCCGACACGACCCACCAAAGCATCTTGTAACCAGTGAGTGAAACAATAGAGCTGTCACACAAAAAACAAACTGCCAAGGGAACATAACGTCAACGGGCCCTGCCCATGCTTGCGCCGAGTGTGGCATGGCGGGCTGTCCCCAGTTGGAACTTCACGTTCTGTGAGTGGCAAAGCATGCAAAGCGAATCTCCATTTCAAGTTGCAAATTGGGCATACAGATGGCCTACTTTGATATCACAATAGTTTTCCACGGCCATGTTCATGTGACTTTCAACTCTGATGTCCCCACAATTCCTGTTACCTAAGCAGTTCAAACTTGAAACGCAAAGCCCTGGAAATTCAACCAGAAAAAGCACTGCACACTATGATACTATGCAAATGTGCTGATTGGGAGGGCTTCAAATAATTCCATTGCTTTGCCGCGGTTTGAGTCGGGCTTTTCTCAACCTTCCAAGCGCAAGTCTGAGGGCATCTTGCCCAGGCTTCAAAAGAGAAATCATCATGACTGCCACAATGCAAAATCCTGGCCCTCAGAACCCATCACGGCTATGTACCACCGGCCCGGATTTGCGCAAACCATAGCGAGTCAGCCGGACCTTTTTATGAGTGCCAGTGTTGGGATCCCATTTTGACCCGCCATTCACAAGATCCCTCTCTTGGGTTACGGAAGGGGTTCCTACCCTTTTAGAACGTGTCATGATTGTCTCCTGTGGCTTTAGCCTCTTAGGGTCTATAGTTTTGTCGTGGAGCCGTTCAGTGATTTACAAGAAGTAGGAGCACCTGGGCAAGACAAACAAGAGTAAAGTGGCACAGGCAACCCTGGTGTAGCAAGAGCAAAAGACAATTTGGGAGAGGGGATCCCGCCCAAAAGAGCAAGTTGTGGTTTCCCTTGGCTTCCCTTTGAAAGTTGCCAAAACAGGGGTACGCTCCAAAACACGCTCAAAAACACGCACAGAGGGAGAGAGAGGCAGAGAGAGGGAGAGAGATTTGGAAGCTACTGTGGGTGGACGAAATCCCGCACTACCTAAGAAACCCTAGAATGATATGATCCCCTGCAAATACCAACAAACAATGGTTTCCCATGGTGTCTTGGGTGCAGGATTTTGTCCATCCACAGTCTGTTTTCCCATGTCATCTCCCACTAGGTGCGGCTGAACCAGATTGGCCGCCTGGGCCGCACGTGATGTGAGCTTTGTCGACGTGCCTGGCAGTCGTTTTTGTGGTTCAAGTTCGTATGTTATGCAAAATCAGGACCGCATGTCCGCGACACTTGCATGATGTATGCACTTCAACCTTTTCGCCACTTAACTTGTTTGGATCGTTTGTTCCCCCTTGGGTTGTTGTTCATCCCTGTCTAATAGTTCATGGCGGCTGCCTACGGCGTTCGAATATGTTTCCTTTTTCTGGAGAAATCAACACATTCCGGCAAGTCACCGTTTGTCGGGGCAGGCCGATAAATAATAGACATGTTGATTGTTTTCAGTACTTTAACGCAAGCAAGTGGAACTGGCGCAACAACCCTTTGATTTGTTCAATGAGGCTGATTGACCATTAGAAGTTAAGCTACCATTGTTTGCGGGATCAAGGGCCCACCAAGGTTTAATCTCTTCATCATCCTTCCTTCCTTCCTTCCTTCCTTCCGTCCATCCGTCCATCCGTCCATCCGTCCTTCCGTCCGTCCGTCCGTCCATCCATCCATCCATCCATCCCAATCTTGAGCCGGCACCCCGCTCGAGACGTCGAGGCCTGCGGCTCTCCAAAGAGGCCAACTATCTCAGGAACGGCGAAAAGCGATACGAGAAGCTGACGACGCAGGCAAAATGGGCAGCTACCGGGTAACCCGAGCTGGGTGTTCGGCTTGGGATTGCCATTGGGTTGCCCTTGCGTCGGAAAAGCGAGGGGTTTCAGTTTTGGCCAGTTTCTTACGTGAAGGCTGAAGGACAAGCCGGGCGCGGTTCGAAGCCCGTTTGCGAACAGCCGAGCGACGAGCGCGGAGATGGCCTTGATACGATCTGGCTATGGATGTGAAGGACGACCAAAGGGCTGCCAGTGTAAAATCATAGCGACTTTGGGAATGGAGGTATTATCCTCTGAATTCCTCCCTGGTGTTTCCAGAATTGGGTCAGGGGGTGTGCCGACTGCTTCACTTCCTTTTGGCTGCACTGGTCCGCTGGGAGCTGCCGTCAATTGTATCTAGTTGGGTCGGCATCTGGTTAGCAAATCTGGTTCAGAAGCCCCCTTGAAATCCTGCTCCTGCAGTTTAACATGGAACCCGAAACATCAAAACCCATGCTGAGGTCTGTTTGTTTTGAGGCATGGATGCTGAACAAACCGCCAATAGAAGTTGGTAAGGCCGTGTTTACCCCTCATGTATGCGGCATAGAGCCTCCATATCCCCAGCACCCATCCCTGGAAAGTCCCTTGAAAACACGCGCAAAACCCCCATTGGCCGTATACCCAGGGACGATAGTGAGGCCTCCAACCTTTACAACCATCTTGGGGGAACCAAGAAGTCCATATGTTTGGTGGGGCCTAGCTCACGTATTGTGCAAAGGAGTATGGCTATTAACTACTCAGTGGGCTGATCATCTAAGTGAGGCCAACCAGCTGCCAAAGGTTGCTGCCCTGGAACGCTGCCGGGGTGGGGGTCTGGTGGCAAGTGCGCATGTGTATCGGCGTCTTGTAGGATGTCGTCGTCCGACTGGCTGAATAAAGTTGAAAAACGGTCATGACTGGTCATTCTTCAATGCGGCGTATGAGCTCAGGAACTCCCAGCCGTGGGGCCGTGGTCACCGTTTTTCAGGCGGCCAACCGTGAGCTCGTGATCAAAGAGATGGACCAGCACCGGTTCGTGCACTATCCGGAGCTTGCGCCGCAGGCAGCAAATTGCATGTCTTAACCCAAGGAGATATGTGTCCGTGTTGGGGATCAAACAACACACTGGCTGGACCATGCCTACAACCTCTTGTCAAAAGGCGGTACACTTCACAGGGTTGCCTTTGGACGACAATTTTCCTTTTGGACAAGGGCCCTGACGAGACATTAGTGGGACGATGCAGATACGAGGAAAAAGAGTTAGAGAGAGAGAGAGAGATGATGAATCACTTAGCTAGGAAATAATCAAAGAACAATTTGATCGAAGTAAATAAATAAATATATATATATATATATTAAGAGGGGAGTGGTTGCAGCCTAAGGGGCTGAGGGCTATTGAGGACCATTATGGGTCTCAGAATCCTCCCATCGGCCAGGTTGTACAGGCGAAGCAAAGCGCGGCCGTTCAGGATGCCCCTTGGGTTTGCAGCTTACTGCCAGCTGTAGGGGGAGGGATGGGGTTCGATGGGGAGCTAATCAGCTAATTCAGCTAATCACCAGCACCTGCCCCAGAAAGGCGAATCAAATTGCCAGAAAGGATCTGGAACTGCTGGTTGCTGTTTAGTCATGTGTTCCTTCAGAGGGGGGGTGATCCGTGGAAGTTCTTGAGCTGCACTTGAAGAATTGTCCCCTTTTTAGTATCCTCTTTCTGTGGAATGCCGGCGGCACCGAGGTCCGCAAGGAACCGGTCATGTTTCTGACACAACTGGGGGCTGGAACAACTGGAAGTGGTACTGCACCCACCTCTGCCGGGAAAATCGCGCCCAGGAAGATGACAACCTTCTGGAGTGAGCCGGGCTCAAATTCTCGCCGCAGGTCGCTCCAAGCAATGGGATGACTAAGCAGGCACAAATTGTTTGGCTTCCCTTGTTCTCCTTTAAATTGCCATGGATTGGAGAAATCCTGCAGGCGTTTTTGGAACGCGCTGGACGCATAGACCTGAAACGACCATGCGGATTCCGGTTGATTCAGTGCCCCCTTTAGTCAATGAGACCAAACTCGGAGCCGGGAAGTCGGACCCACCTGAAATGTCCCCAATATTGAGGTTGATGACTTGGGGAAGCCATATATTCAGCTCAGGTTAAGCTTTTGTTTTCAGCTGGGTCCCACTTTCTGGGCACACTGGCCCGCTTGATTGAGTAGCTTATAAAAAGCGAAAGAAATCAATAAAATAAAGAGAAAAGAAAAGATGGAATGAAGAAAGCTGTTCCTATCCCTTCGGTCACTTCTGTAAAAGCAATATATCTTAGAATTAATATATTTGTCTATTCCTTAAGCAATTTTTATATTGTTATTTTGTTTATGATAGAAGATTCATAAGCTTTCATTATATTGCTATCTTTTCATTGTCTTTTTCATATTGTTTTGTTTATAATGTAAAGTTGCTTTTATTAGAGTCTATTATTTATTGTTCCTTGTCTTTTTGCTTTTATTTTTATAATTTCATATTGTATTAGTTTAAGAAAGCCGCCCGCAGTGAAGGTTGCTGTAGAAATGAGTTTCCCACCTGCGAACGGGTCCCTTCAAGAGGAAAACGGATTTGGGCCTTCAGGTTTCATAGGAGAGCCAGGGCAAAGTGCAATGCTTGGTGAAATCTGTTTTTGCGCGTGAGTGGCGAGCCAATGCTGCAGATGAATGTTGCAAATGTCAGGATGAGATTGGAGCGCAAGATGCAGAGGTTTTTGGCAGTCTTGTGAGAGAGGAATGGCAGTGGGCCTGGCCAAGGAGTTCTGACGGGTTGCAGGCTGCAGGCGACGAGGTCCTGTCCCTTTTTTTGAGGTGCGTCCAGCCAGAAATAACAGCTTAGAGGCAAGGGGAGGCTGTAGGCCGACCCTTTCCTGCTCCAGAAGATGCATGGTGCCGTGATTGGAATTTGCGTGTGCATGCGCAGGTAGGGGAGAGCGTTGCTTGCAAAGCTGCCAGTGTGTTGACCAACGCTCGCCCTCATAATCACCACAGCAGTTGACTGATGCTTTCCAGATGTGCACGCATGTCCTTCTGAAGGGAAGCATGCCGCACTCTGCAAACGCCCAAAACTGAATCCAGGCTAGGAAGCTTCAAACACAATGAGTAGCCTAGTCAGCCACGCACTCGAGCTTCGGGCTTGTTTCTAAAAGTGGTTGAAAGAGTTGAGCCATATTCCAATCCCTTTGGAGGAGGCACCAAAGGTTGGACAGCCTTTCCAGAATCCAGGCCCCTAACCGCTGGTTGCGCAGGATCCATGACCAGGATCGCTCTCCTCGATTGGCGATTCATTTAAGGTGACGGCCAATTTGATCGACTTATTGTGGGTGCTCGCCAGGTGGCAGACGTATCTTGTCTTTCCTCCAAGCCGACCGTCGGTGGTATAGACGTTCCCCCGGAAGAAGCACAAGAGGATGATGGTTTGCGGAAACCATGAGAGACTGAACAGTTATGCATCGTTTGTTTTCCCATAGGGGAAGGAGGCACAAGACGATAAAAAAGGACAAAAACAACTCTTTTAATGTATTTCCCAAAGAAGCCACACGATACTGGCACTGTTTTCACGTTGCACCGGTTGAAGCCACAAGGGGATGGATATGTAAAGAAGCTACACGATACTGGCACTGTTTTCACGTTGCACTGTTTGAAGCCACAAGGGGATGGATATGTGTTGAAAGTTTCGTCGGAAAGGAAAAGCTTATGGACTGATACGGACGTGTTTGGTTTTCTTTGGACGGCTCTCTTGTTTCCCACGTAGCACCCATATGCGACGGCCGTGAACAGCGCGGCCCGGACCACCGGAGGATGCCGAAATGCCATCTAAAAAGGCACAAACGTCGACAGGGACTTGCGGGGGCCAAATCTGGGCTCAATAATGGAAGGAAGTGGTGTGAACCTCGAGCAAGGCCGCGGGTTGGGGGCTGGCGGGGGGGTCGTTGACAAGCCCAAAAGTAATCAGAGGAAAAGGGTGCCTGGCCACATCAAATCCGGCCTTTCCCAACAGGAATCACGAAGTGGGGATGTGACTGGTTCTGAGAACGACTCGTTTTGGAAGAATGTTGGGCCTTCCAGTTTTATCATTGAGCCATCCAGTTTTATCATCAGCCAAAGAAGGGTAGGTGGAAAAGGCCAAGGTTGGAGGATATTTCTCGGGCCGGCACGTTGAAAGGAATCTAGAAATGGACCCCTTGAAGTGGGTGGGTTCAAGGGACGAGCAAACGAGCAGGGGATAGCCATTTACATGCCAACAATCAAGCGAGCAAAATGGAGGTTTCCAACCACCAGACAATTGCAGTGACATGCTTTACGTCCTACGACCATGGCATTTTGAAAAAGCAGTAGAGCTCAATCATCGCGAAGGCACTGAGTCATTGCCAAAGCACTGGAGTTGCCCTTCCCAAGCTATACTTCGCAATTCTGGGGCGTGGGGGCAAGATTGCCGTTTTTTTTTCTGGCAAAATCACCATGCTAGTCATAGGGGTCATTATTTGGGACTAACATGAGAGCACCGTATTTCTAGCACGTTGGGCACGGGTATTATGACACGTGATCCCAGTCTGTTGCACCCATCCCGGTTGCCCAGTCCTTTGGTAATGAGTTGTTCAGGTCATGATGGGCACCCATGTTTCCCTTCCTAGGCGAAGTTGTCTTCCAACGGGGCGGAACATACACCAGGCCGTGTTGGTAGTGGGGGGTTAAGCTCTAGTAGTGGGTACACTTGTTGTGGTTGCCTTGAGACGACTTTCTCCCTGCTGTATTGTTACTACTCTTAGTGCCTGAAAGGGTGGATCCACAAATGCTTTCGCCTCCAAACCATCAGCCAGAGGCAGTCTGTGCATCAAGCCTGGAATTGAGCGACCAACACTCCCACAAGGGCCATGCTTAGTGGGTGGCTCTACTGTCTGGTTTGATTGTGAAGCCTATGTGCAACTTTTGTTGAGCGCTACCAAGAACCATTGACTGTTGTTTCTAGCATAGTTTTACTGTAACCATGTCAATAGAATCAAGAGTCCATGGTTCTTAGTTGCTGCTCAAGTGGCCTTAAGCCCACATGGCCGTTTGCCTAGGCCTCGATTCCGCGACGCCCAGAAGTTCGCTGACGGGGAGGTGGGGAGCTGGGAGCGGGGTAGCTGAACACGTGGTAAATCAACGAAACAAGACAAACAGATCCAGGCTGAGTTCTTATTCTGCAACATGGAGTGGGGCGAGTCATCAATGTTTATGGATATTGACAAGAACAGCAAACACATTTTTTGCGAAATGCTCAGACAAAAAGCGGAGGGCGTGTCTGAGTTCCTGGACTTTATTGTTTGGGAAAGACCCCTTTTGTGGGAAACACGCAGTTTGCACTTTGTTTGTCCAAGTGAGCTAATCGGCTTCCCTTGATAATACCCTCTCCTCCGGGGTTTTGGAAAAGGCAATCAGGGTGAGCGGAATACTAATAGTCCTTGGCTCCGGTGAAGCCTGACCGATTAGGGTGTGTTTTTTTTTTGAGGGTGACCGTTCCTTTTTTTGTGGTTTTAAAGGACAGCCTTGAAACGAAACCACCCGTTTGGAGGGTTCCTCCGCTTTGAGACAAACCAAAACCCGCCAAGTTGCGAGGCCAACATCATGATTGCCACGGAGTTCGGTGGGCGTGGCATTGACTGGCCGGAGGTGCGGTCTCGGCCTGCGGTCCGTCCCAGTGTCTAAGCCTGTCCCTGGTGCATGTCTGGGATGTCTCTATGGCATAAACTCTATGGGAATTGGGCGTGTCTCTTAAAGGCTGGGCCATCCCCCCTAAAACGTTCCCTTCTGTTTGTTGGTCTCTTTGAGCATGGAAGCTCAACTCCGATTCTTTACCAAAAGGGGTCACTGGGTGCGACATTGTCCTTTTGTTTTGGGTGGACGTTGAGAGGTGAGTTTCACACTCGAGTTCCTGGAGTTATAGTTTATGAATGGGAGGATAAATGTCCCTTTGTCGAATCCAGCTTTGCTTTTTCTTTCTTCCCGGTTCTGGTTTTCACGTTGGCGACGCGGTTTTGAGTCACTTGTTCAGGAAAACCACTTGCTTTCGTATCAAGTAGTCTGGCAACTTTCTTTCTGACCAATCCACGATGCACTTTCCCGGGCTTTAAGCTTCTTGTTTGAGTCATACTCCATGCGGGCAGTGCGATTGATCATGGCAGAAACAGCTATGATTTTGGGCAGGGCTCAAAACATGCATGGGCTTTTGGTGCATCGTATCGTGGGCAGACCAGTCATGGATCCCGTGTATCTCACACGTTTAGAGTACTTTGTTGGCAATCAAGCCTCTTTGTCGTTCCTTTGTAGTAAAAGGTCCATTGACTAAACCAACATGGGGCGAGTTGTTCCATTTGCCACCCACTCAAAACCAAGCCAAGCATTCGCAGGATAGCTCCGAGTCAACCGAGCAGCTCAGAGTCAGGTCGCCCTGAATTGGATTGGATTGGCGGGAACTGCGGATTACCCCTGATGCTTGTTGAGTTTTACATGGGACGCCGGACCACCTCCACTAAAAGCCCAACGACCAGGGCCATAGGGGAGGTTTTGGCCTAGGGTCCACTTTCATTGCCAGGCTGTGTTTGGGTGGCTTGTCTTTTTTGGAGTTGGTATCCCTTTAGCTGTTGTTTGTGGGCCCGAAAGAAAGCCAAAAGAAGCAGCACCAATTTGGATGTCCCCTAAAAACGACAGACCCAACTGACCTTTTGAACTGTTTACCCTTTTGGTTGTTTTTATGTTCCATTTCGGCTGGCAGCAAGTTGACTTGTTGCAACCCGCATCCTGCCAAGATGCACTGTGAAATAGTCACGGGGGTCTCTTTTTTG